TAATCTCTCAGCCAAATTGGATATATTAACCCCAAATTATAGGAAAAAACGGGGACTTGTAAATGCCTTAGGATCAGCAATCAAATTCATAACGGGAAATATGGACTACAAAGATGCAGAAGAACTAAATAAAAACATTGACAATTTAACTAGAGGAAATACCCAAATAAAAACAACGCTTAAAAACCAAATGATGTTAAATAACAAAATGATAACAAGATTCGAAAACATTACCAATCACATAAATGAAGAACAAAACCTAATAGAACGTTCTATAATGATGATTCAAAACCAGACAAGAAATGCCATAAACCCCTCGGTTAATGCAATAATCCAAATGCAAAATTTACTTCAAATCAGTTTTAACATAGATATACTTACCGACCACCTTAATGATATCGCAGAATCAGTAGTATTAGCAAGGCTTAACACCGTCCCAAAATTAATATTAACTACTGACGAACTGAATGAAATACACAACATACTTAACAATGCAACGGACATTATATCACCAGAACATATATATGAATTACTACAACTGACAGCATATTATAACGACACAAACATAATATTTGACATACAAATTCCTATAATTTCTAATGAACTATTTAAATTATTACACATAATCAAAACCCCCATAAATAACACCTTAGAAATAATAACCGGTGAATACGCTTTAATAAACAATGATAACCTTTATCTTTTCGACAACCGATGCAAACAAATAGAACAAAAATTTTACTGCAACTATGAAACTCAATACGAAAGAAATAGAGATTGCCTAAAATCAATTTTGCTTAGAGAAGAAACGGTGGCATGTCACCTTAGAGACATAGGATTAACTACGGACATAATATATCCAGAACCAAATTACCTAGTGCTTATAAACCCTCCAATAGGAAACATAACCACAGTATGTAACAACGTAACTAAGAGTCTACCAATCAAGTCTTCCTCTGTTATTAATTTTAATGAATGCAAAATCTTATTTAATAATGTCTGGTATACAGATAAACCGAATATTCACCAAGAAAACATTAGCACAATAACCTTCCAAACTAGCTTCTCAAACAATATTACAACACTCTCCATAAGAGACGAACTAACATTACCCAAACTAGATCAATACAGATTCCAAAATAAAGCAAATATCGAATTTCTTCAAACAGACTCTGACAATTACAAAACAATTTCTTATTCCGCATTTGGTATAATTAGTTCTATAATCATAATATTATCAATAATATTAGTAATAAGAAAGCCTATAAAATTAATCTACTCCATAACCCACAACAATAATGAAGTTCTGGCCACAAATGATCCGAAGCCCCTTTGGCCCTCACTTCATTCTGGAGAGGGAGGAGTTACCTACAGCCACCAATAAACAACATTATTATTAAGTTCATTATTTTCAACCACAACCTCATTTATTAAAAACATCATTATTGTTAACACCATTATTATTAACATCATTATTATTAACATCATTATTATTAATATCATTATTATTAACATCATTATTAGTTACAACATTGTCATAAGCACCAAAGAGCTAACACCAATATTGTTGACATTATTTCGTCAGCAATAATTCTCCACTTCAACATCACAATAACAACACTAGTAATAAAACTATGACGGAAATAACCCAAAAAGAAATGTTTACTTTTACTGTACCCAATACAAATTTTTAGCTTAAGTATTTTTCTTGATAGCTCTAGATTTTATGTTCCTTTGTTCTTTGTTAACTCTAAGAAAAATCAATAATTGTAAAATCGCTTAAATATAAGAATTTTTTGAATAAAGCATCAGTTGTATTTGGCATCTAAAACAGAATAATTCTTGTTTTCTTATTTGTCGGCGGTACGGAAGTTAACTCGCACAAATGAAATTATGATCAAAGTCCGTGGGGAATTCGGGAACTAGAGAGAGAGAAAGAGTGCGATATGTTTGGAAATCATCTGTGACACACACGGGGGACTTAATGTTGCTGTGATATATAAATGGGTTAAAAAGCTATTGCAACAGCATGAAAAAAGTTGATTGATTTTAGAATAGAAAATTGATTTCACATAAATCATATGGAATATAAATATTTTATTTTTAAAATCCAGCAATGTGTGATAAGTGCTTTGCATGCACCAGAAAAAGTACGGATATGAACAGCTGATACATATATTGTATTTTAATGATCCTTTATTGATATTTTTTTCAAATAGGTGTTCACACACATTAGATACACAAATATCTTAATCTCAAAATTTTGCGCTTGTGAATTTGTATTTTTATACCCTCAGCCATGTGGCTAGAGAGGGTATATATCATTTGATACGGCGTAAAACGTACCTCATCGAAATAACGGTTTTAGACCCTAGGTCTCTTTGGACCAAATCCGTTTGAGAACATTTGGAGTCGATTTAAGGATGTCTGTCCGTCTGTCTGGCTGGCTGTATCCGATTTGGTCCAAACTTTGTACACCGTAATATTATTATCACACTTAGATCGAGTTCGGAGATGGGCAACATCGGTCCACTCCTTCTGGTACATCTCCCACACAAAAAGGTCGAACTTAAAAAAATATATATTTTACTGCACAGAAAGAATAATCCAATTTTGATCCAGTTTTGCAAATCCTAATATTTGCACCAGTTCTACGTCAAGCGCGAAAATGGCCAATATCGGTCCACACCTTCAAATACTTCCCCTACAAAAGGTAACATTTTAAATAATTATAAATCTTATAAAATGTGATGTAAGAATCTGATTTTTCTCCAAATTAGAGACATCGCATTATTTTTATTAACCCAAGGTCTGATGTAAAGATGTTATATATTATGGTATATTCCTTCTGGTACCTCCCCCACAAAGGGTCAAAATTTTGAATATCCATTAAGCTCATAAAACACAAAATTAACACCCGATTCCACTCAGACTTGGTACATCTCAATATTTTCATCAACACAAGATCTGTTATAAAGATGGTAGAGATCGGATCATTTCCCTCTGGTACTTCCCCAACAAAGGGTCAATGTTTTGAATAATCAAAACTATTATAAAATCCGAAATAAGCATCCGGTTCTCTTCATATTTCACATATACTACTATTTCTACTAGTACAAGATCTGCTCCTTTTAGATAAAACACCCCCACCCCCCTTCCACCCACACACACACATAGAGTAAAAATTTTGAATATCAACGATGTTCATAAAACGCAAAATGAACATGCAATTCCGTTCAGACTTGGCACATCTCAATATTTCCATCAGCACAAGATCTGTTATAAGGATGGTAGAGATCGGACCATTTTCGGTATCTCCCCCACAAAGTGTCAAATATTTGACGATCATAAAATCCGAAATAAGCCTCCTGTTCTCTACAAATTTCACACATGCTATTATATTCTCTAACACAAGATGTGCTGTAAAAGTGGGATATATCGCAAAGTACGGCCCACGGAATCACTATGGTCGGGGCTTGAGTTCTGGTGGCCAACCGAAAGTGCACATTTTTAGCTGACCTCTTTGGCAAGTAAACACGATCATTTTGTTTGTTTACAAACTGCTGGACAACGAATGTTTTCTCATCGGAGAAAATCAAATTCGTCAGTTCACCACTTTTGGCCAAGCGAAGCAACTCTTTAGCTCTATTTTCTTTCTAACGGACGAGTGGCTTAGAAATGACAGCACTCTGAAGTTGTTGCAGTTTTTTCATATCACTCCTTAAATGCCGAATATTATCGCGAAAATATTCTCGAGGGTGTATTAAAGCCTTGGGCACGCAAACATTTTGGCCACAGACCTTGGACATTCCAACAGGACTAAGCTCCTTTTTTGCACTCAGCCACCCACCCAAGAATGGTCAAAAAATGAGGTTCCTCGCTTCATTTCCACCGTACAATGGCCACCAAACTCTCCGTATACCAATCCGTTAGGCTATTGTATCTAGAGTATTTTGGAAAGCAAGGTTGGCACTAAAAATACCAAATTGTCGATCTCCTCATGCAAGCGCTTCGCCGGGAATGGGCCAAAATACCGCAGAGTAACATTCGGGCAGCATGTGACGGTTTCATTGGCCTTTGAAGGCCATAATTCAAGGCCAAATGTGACCAATTCGAACAAATCTAAACTTATTCTAAAATTTTATGCCATTTCCGACATTTTACGCTTTCATTCAATAAAATTAAAAAAAAAAAAAAAATGTAAGAATTATGGCGTTTGACTTTGTTGCAGTTTTTTATCTCACCTTGTATTTGGGTACTTTCTTGGGGACTATACGGTATTTTGATGATTTTTGATTTTTTTAAAGAAATTGCAAATTCCTTTCAAATCAATTTCATTATGACCGGCAGACCTTTCTCATAAATATGAATTCAACAGTCGATATAAAAATAACATTTTTCTTTGAATTCCAAAATAACTTCCCTTATTGAAACCCTCTTTATTTCATAATGAATTGTCACGGGGAGAGAAACGACTTCGAGCGAAATTTCCGTGGTAATTTTATTCCAAAAAGGCTATCTAATAGGCCCTAATCTATCTGTAGGCCCTAAACTATTTCTATATGACTAATTTCTCAAAGCAATTAAATAAAACAAACAATGATACTAGTAATTTCCCTACCCGGTTTATTGCTTTCTCTTCACAAAAAAAAAAACTTAATTAATTACCCTTTTTTTTGTATAATTCCTGCCGGCCACAACGACACTGCAAATACGAAAAATTAATTATTTGGAAGAGGGGTCTCTACCCTCAATTCTGTTTTACACTATCTCTTTTATCTGCTGGCTTGAACAAACACTTTTTCTTAAGATAAGAAAATTTTTCAATTTAATTTCGATAATAATTTCTGGCGAATCTCATTTGCAAATTAGTTGTATTGTGTGTCAGTGACAAATGTAATTTGGTGATCGGAAGAATTTTTTGAATTTTGTAAAAAAAAAAATATGGTGTAGTACATTTTTTTTTAATTTGGCACAATTTTTTCTTTTTTTTTTTCTAGTGATCCTGTTTGTTGTGGAGTGTGAAATAAATACAAAATGGAAATTACAAGATATCTTACATTACTGGGTATTGTGGCAATCGGTACCATAATGTTCTATGCCACACCAGCTGAGGGATGTATGTGCGCACCAAGCCATCCACAGACACATTACTGTACTGCAGATTATGGTAAGTTATGACCTAATTGTTGAAAAAAAAATTATTGAAATTAGCAGATAGAGTTATCCAATATTGTCTATTTTCTAATTTGACCAACGTGTGGTGGAATATTTACAATACGAGGATTTTGGATCAAGCTGGAACGCCCTTATGTGCAATTTTGCTTTTTAAGGAAATCTTTCGATATTGTAGGCTAGTGTAACAGCAACAGCCTGCCTCCTGCCAAATAGAGAAAGGTCTGCGTTGCAATTTAAATTAAAATTGGATTGGCTTTTTGTAAATGAGTGTAGGAATATAACCCGTTTTCCAATTTTATAGAAATACACCAGAATTAATGCGGATTTCTGCTTCAAATCATAATTTTAGAACAAGAACATCAAGGAAATATCTGCTGCAATGTTACCAAAAAAATTGAAAATATTTTCTTGTTTTTGATCAAGTTTTTTTTCATCCTTTTTCGAGTTGATGTATGAAAGTAGCATAAAACTTTGTTTTAGGCAGAAATTCTCAAAAGAGGAAATATTCTACATAAAATTTCACTATGAGTTTCAGAATAAATAATACAAATTAAATTCGAAATTTATATATTGAAAGTATAAATTAAATATGGGAGCAATTTTTCCCTTCTTCAGCATTAATTGAAATGTATAGATTCAGATTCGGTAATATTGCTAATAACAATACGAGGATTATTTTTGTAAAAAAATGTTAACCCTCCAGCAAGGCACCAAAGGGGTCATTTTGGTACTTTTTGCAAAAAATTATTTAAAAAAAAAAACTTTAAAATGGCAAGTCAAATATTCTACAAAAAATACTTGTCATAAAATTTTTTTATAGGTTTTAGATTTTAGGGTTAGGCCTTATTCCCATTTAATGCCTGAAAGTAACATAAAATGTCGTTGTCTAAGAATAAACCATACATTTAGGTATAAAAGTTTTTAAGAAAATTTCATTCGATGTTTACTTATTTGTTACCAGAGAAAATTATTTTTTTACAAGTTTCAGATCCACGTCGAAATTTCCCCTTAAATTTCAATTTCTTGGAAAAAAATCAAAAAAAAAGAAATATTCTAGATCAAATTTAATTGGGAATCTCTGAAAAAAAGAAATTTCGATACTCAATATACGAGTCTAGCCGAGAAAAAATGTTAACCCTCTGTGGGTAGGTCCCCAAGGAATGGACCAATATTGTCCATTTCGTATCGGAGCTAAATAAATATGATATAAATGTTGCGACGTGCCAAATTTGGACTATACGATAAAAAAACTGCAACAAAGTCCAACAACATAATTTTTACATTATTTTCTTAAATTTTATTGAATGAAAGCAAAAAATGTCGGAAATAGCATCAGATTTTAGATTAAGTTTAGATTTGTTCGAATTGGTCATCTTTGGGCTTGAATTATGGCCTTCAAAAGGCCAATGAAACCGTCACACGCTGCCCGAATGTTGTTCTGCGATGTTTTGGCCCATTTCTGGCGAAGCGCTTGCTTGAGGTGATCGACACTTTGGTATTTTTTAGTGCGAACCTTGCTTTCCAAAATACTCCAGTCACAATAATAGTCCAACGGATTGGTATCCGGAGATTTTGGTGGCCATTGTGCGCTGGAAATAAAGCAAGGAACCTCATTTTTTAACCATTCTTGGGTGACGCGTGCTGAGTTCTGTTGGAATGTCCAAGGTCTGCGGCCAAAATGTTGGCGTATCCAAGGCTTTAATACACTCTCCAGAATATTTTCGCGATAATATTCGGCATTTATTCTGATGCCACGGTCGATTAATACGAGCGGAGAGCGACCATCGGCTGTTATCACGCTAACGAGCGATGGTACAAAACACAAAATATTTATTCAAATTTAAATGTTGGAGTGCTCTAACGATGGCCACTTGTGGTTTTCCAGCCAAATATAAAGAAATCACACTATCACGCTTGAATTCCATCACGAATAACTTTTTTCTCACCAAAATGTTTTTGTACGTTTGGAAACAATATAATGAGCTGTCACTGGAATAATTTTAAGAGCTGCCGGACGAGTGGCTTAGAAATGACAGCAGTCTAAAGTTGCTTGCTGTTTTTTTATCTCACCCTGTATATTATCTTCAGAACAGACCTTGTGTTAGAAAAAATGTTTGTGTGTGTGTGAAATTTGAAGAGAGTTGTGTGCTTATTCCGCTTCTGATCTCCACCATCTTTATAGCAGATCTTGAGTTGATAGAAATATTCGAAGTCTCAATGAAATCGGATGTTAATTTGGCGTTTTATAAGCTTCATGGGTATTCAAAATTTTGGCCCTTTGTGGGGGACGTACCAGGAATAGTGGACCTATATATTCCATCTTCACACTAGTTCGTAGGTTAATAAAAATATTGTTATGTGTGTAATTTTAAGACAGTCGGACTCTTACATCATATTTAATAAGAGTTATGATTATTCAAAATGTTTACCCTTTGTGGGGGAGGTACTTCATGGTGTGGACCGATATTGTCTATTTTCGCACCTGACCTGGCCATAATGCAAATACTACGATTTGCAAAGTTGGAGCTAAATTGGATGATCTCTCTTCTGCCTTCTCTTCTTTGTAGTAGAATATATTCTTTGAAAATTTCCACCTTTTGTGGGGGAGGTACCAGAAGGAGTGGGCCGATATTGTCCATCTCCGAACTCGACATTAGTTTGATAATAATATTACGATGTACCAAGTTTGGACCAAATCGGATAACAACTTCGGGAGTTATCGTGCGCACGGACGGACATTGCTAGATCGACTCCAAATGTCGTGAAACGGATTTGGTCCAAAGAGACCTAGGGTCTAGGCCAAACTCATTGAAGGCGTTTGTATAGCCTCGACCATTCCTAATATTTGGAGATATATTTCGCTGGATTTTATATAGAGCTCTAAAAATTTATAGAGGGCTTTAGATTACTTCAAAAACCATTGGTTAAAAAATGGGTCATGTCGGTCCACTGTTTGGTAAAATCCCTATATCAGGGCAAGCCCGGATTTCAAATATTTTTTTTATGTTTTAGCCATATTTACCCTCCTATTTCGCCAAATTTTGGTAGTTTTAATGAGTGCTGATTATGTAGAAACGCTACTAGCAAAAGTTTCCCATCCACATATGCTGTGATTTGAGTTCTTCTCTCAAAAAATATGCAATATTTGTATGACCCTCCATTAAGCAGAACTTTCAAGTGTGGGGGGTTGTGATTTGGCCATAAATCAAGTTTTCCCATGGTGGAGGGTATAAAATGTTCGAATTTGGTGATTTTATTCCTTTTTCTATGTTTACAGGATCTATAGAACATATATTTTTGGAGGGCCTGTAAATGGTGGTCCAACAAGCCTTTTTCCATCATTAGTCACACTTTAATTTCTCACTCTCTCTCTCTCTCTCTCTCTTTTCTCTTTTTGCAGTTGCTCTCATTCGGGTTATGCGCAAATCCTCCAAATTGGTAGCTGGCAAAATCGTATACAAGGTGGAAGTGAAAAAATCCTATAAAGTAAGTTTGATGACCCTCCCGAAAACTGCATTTAAAAGATTTGCTGCAGAATATTCAATATATTGAAATTTTCTCTATTCTTTTCCAGATGACCCCTGAAGGTCAGAGGACATTGAAACATGGTCGGATTATGACCTCTGCCCATGACAGTATGTGCGGCGTGAATTTGCAACTGGGTCGCCTATATATAATTGCCGGCAGAGGTGATCAATTGAATTTGTGTCATTATGCAAAGGAATACAAGAAGATGAGCATTATTGAGAGGACCGGATTCACTGGAGCCTATAAGAAAGGATGTGCATGTGAGGTGAGCTAATGCAGAGAATATTTCTTCTTATCCATAAAGAATCATGGGTAGTCTTCCGACCATAAACTTAGACTTGGAGTAGTTCTTCTATATGTAGAAGAGGGCATATGGGTCTTGTATCTACATATATCTTCTATAGAAGATCAATAAAGTTGCTAATAGCATCAATAATAGTTAAATATTAATAATAACAACCAATTATTTTCCATTTCAGATATCGCCCTGTTTCGGTAATCGTTGCCTCGACGGCCCCACCAAACCCAACTCCTGCCAATGGTCACCATTTGCCAAATGTGAAACCGATTACAGTGCCTGTATGCCGACGAAAACGCGATCACCATTCTCAATTGGCGACCCCACGATCAAGTGTCGCTGGCGAAGAACCGTCCAATATGACGAATGTAGAATGAATCCATAAAAGGTTATCCGAGTGGGAAGGGAATTGGGAGAGATTTCTATGCGAATCTTCAATATGTGCCAAAAACACGCATCATCCGTTGTGTCCATGTGTTTTACAAAAACAAACAATTTGTTTTGTCTATCCATTAGTTGTAGTCGTAAATATTGTGTAAAATTTTATTTAATATATATCTTTTAAAATGGTCTGGCTTTATCCCTTTATTGTTGTTTTTATAAAAACAACGTTTGTTTATTAGTGGAGAACGATGGTAATGTTTACCAGGGGGTAAGGCAGGGAATACCTAGGTTTCGGAAAGAGCCACCAATCCTCATCAGTTCCCTTGTTTTTGCCTGGGATATTCTCCCCAGAAGTCATTTTAAAAATAACTTCTATGACAAAAAACTTTTTTTACCCAAGTGACGAGATCGTAAGCTCAATAGAAGAGGAACCAAAGAATTAAATAAAACTAAAATTCTCTTGGAAAGTCTTCTAAATCTTACAACCGCACTTATAAACATTTACATCTTTCTCCACTTGTTATGCTTTCGTTCAGCCTGAACGAAGTAGCATAACCATGTAAGTTGGTTTTGTCTGTTACAACAAAAACGCCTTCGTCGACCGTGCCTTGTCTATTAATAGAACAGTGTGGCTTGTTTGTTCGGGATACCGTAGTATTTTGTTTTTGCAAAATGGTCTGGCTTTATCCCTTTATTGTTGTTTTTATAAAAACAACGTTTGTTTATTAGTGGAGAACGATGGTAATGTTTACCAGGGGGTAAGGCAGGGAATACCTAGGTTTCGGAAAGAGCCACCAATCCTCATCAGTTCCCTTGTTTTTGCCTGGGATATTCTCCCCAGAAGTCATTTTAAAAATAACTTCTATGACAAAAAACTTTTTTTACCCAAGTGACGAGATCGTAAGCTCAATAGAAGAGGAACCAAAGAATTAAATAAAACTAAAATTCTCTTGGAAAGTCTTCTAAATCTTACAACCGCACTTATAAACATTTACATCTTTCTCCACTTGTTATGCTTTCGTGATGAGGATTGGTGGCTCTTTCCGAAACCTAGGTATTCCCTGCCTTACCCCCTGGTAAACATTACCATCGTTCTCCACTAATAAACAAACGTTGTTTTTATAAAAACAACAATAAAGGGATAAAGCCAGACCATTTTGCAAAAACAAAATACTACGGTATCCCGAACAAACAAGCCACACTGTTCTATTAATAGACAAGGCACGGTCGACGAAGGCGTTTTTGTTGTAACAGACAAAACCAACTTACATGGTTATGCTACTTCGTTCAGGCTGAACGAAAGCATAACAAGTGGAGAAAGATGTAAATGTTTATAAGTGCGGTTGTAAGATTTAGAAGACTTTCCAAGAGAATTTTAGTTTTATTTAATTCTTTGGTTCCTCTTCTATTGAGCTTACGATCTCGTCACTTGGGTAAAAAAAGTTTTTTGTCATAGAAGTTATTTTTAAAATGACTTCTGGGGAGAATATCCCAGGCAAAAACAAGGGAACTGATGAGGATTGGTGGCTCTTTCCGAAACCTAGGTATTCCCTGCCTTACCCCCTGGTAAACATTACCATCGTTCTCCACTAATAAACAAACGTTGTTTTTATAAAAACAACAATAAAGGGATAAAGCCAGACCATTTTGCAAAAACAAAATACTACGGTATCCCGAACAAACAAGCCACACTGTTCTATTAATAGACAAGGCACGGTCGACGAAGGCGTTTTTGTTGTAACAGACAAAACCAACTTACATGGTTATGCTACTTCGTTCAGGCTGAACGAAAGCATAACAAGTGGAGAAAGATGTAAATGTTTATAAGTGCGGTTGTAAGATTTAGAAGACTTTCCAAGAGAATTTTAGTTTTATTTAATTCTTTGGTTCCTCTTCTATTGAGCTTACGATCTCGTCACTTGGGTAAAAAAAGTTTTTTGTCATAGAAGTTATTTTTAAAATGACTTCTGGGGAGAATATCCCAGGCAAAAACAAGGGAACTGATGAGGATTGGTGGCTCTTTCCGAAACCTAGGTATTCCCTGCCTTACCCCCTGGTAAACATTACCATCGTTCTCCACTAATAAACAAACGTTGTTTTTATAAAAACAACAATAAAGGGATAAAGCCAGACCATTTTGCAAAAACAAAATACTACGGTATCCCGAACAAACAAGCCACACTGTTCTATATATCTTTTAATGTTTTATTTTTTTCTAGTTGTATAAGTCCATAAAAAGAACCAAAACCAAAAAAAAAAAAAAAACACGAATAAGAGAAATAAATGTTATGCCTAAAAAAATTGATCTAAGAGTATATTATCTTTCCGGATTCTTGTTTTGACTTTGTGGCGATATTTGACTTTCCATTAATCTAATAATTTTTTATAGAATATTTCGTAACATTATTCCATATCGTTCGCGAATTTCCATTTTTTCCATTCCCTATTTTAAAACATTCTTATTTTCGAAACTGAGGTGAAACGAGTTAAAAAGTATTAGTCGCTATTGCCGTCGGATGTATAACCTCAGCCAATATTTCATTATTTAAATGTATTTTGACTTCTGTTATAATTATTCAAATTGTTGACCCCCTATGGAGAAGGTTTCGAAGAAATGGACCAATATTGTCCCTTTCGTATCGGACCTAAATATATATGATATAAATATTGCGACGTGTCAGGTTTGGACCAGATTGGTTGCTTCCTTCACTTTATGTGACAAATGTGATGATTTGTAGAAAATGCTAAAATGTGCGTTAGAAACCATAAAAAATTGCAACAACGTCAATTTACATAGTTTTTAGTTTTTTTTTTTAATTTTATTAAATGAAGCCGAAAATGTTTGAAATAGCATCAAATTTTAGAATTAATTTAGATTTGTTCGAATTGGTCACCATTGGCACGAATTATGGCCTTCAAACGGCCAATGAAACCATCACACCCTGGTCAAATGTTGCTCTGCGGTATTTTGTCCCATTCCCGGCGAAGCGCTTGCTTGAGGTGATCGACACTTTGGTATTTCTTAGTGCCAATCTCGCTTTCCAAAATATTCCAGAGACAATAGTCCAACGGATTGGTATCCGAAGATTTTGGTGGTCATTGTGCGCTGGAAATGAAGCGAGGAACACTATTTTGTAACCATTCTTGGATGGCGCGTGTTGAGTGCGATGGTGCAGAGTCCTGTTGGAATATCCAAGGAGTGCGGCACAAATGTTTGCGTGCCTAAGGCTTTAATACACCATCCAGAATAGTTTCGCGATAATATTCGGCATTTATTTTGATGCCAGGGTCGATTATTAGTAGCGGATAGTGACTATCGGTTGTTATGGCGGCCCACACCATCACCATGGCCGGCGCTTGAGTTCTGGTGGTCAACTGAAGGTGCACATTTTCAGCTGACCTATTTGGCAAGTAAAGACGATCATTTTGTTTGTTTACAAAATGCTGGGCACCCAATTTTTTTTTTAAATTCGGCAGTCTTTAGCTCTTTTGAGTCTATTTTCTTTCTGTTGCGGTGTAAGTTCTTGCACTTTTTGGATTTTCAATGGTTTTACCCCGAGCTCATTTTTCAATATTTGCCGAATGGATTATTGCGAAATGTTCAGCTCACGAGCCATTTTTCGGCCACTGCGACCCAGGTTTCGATCAAGTCGCTTTTTTACTTTTCCAACCATTTCTGCTGATGTTGCTGTTTTCTTCAGTCCACTTCCTTGACGTCGGGCTACGCTTTGAATGCTGGAGTGCTCTAATGATAGCCACTTGTAGTTTTCCAGCCAAATATAAGGAAATCACACTATCACGCTTGCATTCCATCACGAATAAACTTTTTTTTGGAAAATTCTCACAAAATTGCTTTTGTACGCTTGTAAACAATATAATAAGCTGTCACTGGAATAATTGTAACAGCAGTCGGACGAGTGGCTTAGAAATGACAGCAGTCTGAAGTTGGTTGCAGTTTTTTCATCTCACCCTGTATGGGTGGAATATAAAGAGAGTTGGATTCTTATTTCGTTTTCTTTTAACGTTTTGTTTCTTAAAATCTTGAACCGTATGTGGGTTCTGGTACCTTCAGAAGAAATAGTCCGATCTCTACCATCTTTATAACATATCTTTTGTTGATAGGACTATTAAGTTTTACCAAGTCTGAATGAAATCATATGTTCATTTTGCGTTTTATGAACTTCAGGGGTATTAAAAATGTTGACCCTTTGTGGGGGAGGTACCTCCCATTTTCACAGCGGATATTGTGTTAGTAGAAATTATTGGATGTGTGAAATATGAAGAGAACCGGATGCTTATTTAAGATTTTATGAACCCTTTGGTTATTTAAAGCTTTGACCCTTTGTGGGTGAGATACCCGATCTGTACCATCTTTATAACAGATCTTGTGTTGATGGAAATATTGAGATGAGCCAAGTCTAAATGGAATAAGATCTTAATTTCGCGTTCTATGAGCTTCATGGATATTCAAAATTTCGACGTTTTGTGGGGAGGTACCAAAGGGAGTGGACCCATATATTTCATCTTAGCACCAGATCTTGAGTTTATAAAACTATTGGGGTTTGAGAAATTTTAAGACAATCGGATTCTTACATCACATTTTATAAGAGTAATATTTATTTAAAAATGTTGATCCGTTGTGGGGGAAGGTACTTGATGGAGTGGACTGATATTAACCATTTTTTCATCTGACCAAGAACTGAGGCAAATATTAGGCTTTGTAAAGTTCGAGCCATATCGGATTATTGCTCCTCTTTCTGTGTAGAAAATATTTTTTTTTGAAAATTTCGACCTTCCGAACTGTATCTAAGTTCGATGAAAATATTACAATGTACCAAGTTTGGACCAAATCAAATACTCGCTTCGCTGGCACCAGACAGACGGGCGTACATCGCTAGAACGGCTCCGAATGTTCTTTATAGAGACCATGGGTCTAAAATCATTATTTCGATGAGACACGTTTTGGCTGTATCAAACGATATATACCCACTCTAACCAAATGGATGAGGGTATAGCAAGTAAAAAAGAAGCTAAGTTCGGCCGGGCTGAACTTTTAATATCCCCCACCACTTATTATACGAAGACGTGGACCTGCTTACGAAATTTTTTGTCATAGGGTGTAGTACCCATTACCAACTTTAAGTACGAAATTTGTTACAATTCCGGTGAAAATTGTCGCTAAACCCATCAAAATACCGAGTATTGGGTGGTAAAGACATATGGGAGCTATACGAAGACGTGAACAAAAATTTTTGTCATAGGCCGTAGCACCCATTACGAACTTAAAATACGAAATTTGAAATAATTCCGGTAAATACTGTCGCTTAAATCATAGAAATACCGAATATCGGGATGTACCGTTATATGGGGGCTATACGAAAACGTGTACCGACATTGCCCATTTACGAACTTAACCCACCTACTGGTAAACTATGCATGTATACAAAATGTTAGCCTCATATCTCAATTCGTGATTACAACAGACAGACGGACATCGCAAGATCGTCTTAGAATTTTACGCTGATCCAGAATATGTATACTTTGTAGGGTCTATTATAAATATTTCGAGGAGTTACAAAAGTCAATATACCTTCCATAGATTGGTGGAGGATATAAAAAGGAAGCTTGATATTATGGTGCAAAAAGGAATAAACAGACCATTTGGATATGAGAGTTTTAGAGTATATTAACCATCAGAATTCGCACTATATCACAGCCTCTTGAGTTTTGTGGAGATTGTCAAGAGACATGGTGTGGTATCATAAGTATCCCTATAGGCTGTACTTTAATTAAATCATTATTGATTTTTTATTGAAATATACTTTTATTTTATTTTTTAGTAGCTTTTTGATTCGGCTTCAAAATCCGAATATCATGACTAAGGACAGTAATAATCGACAAAACAGCTTTTTTTAATATCCGTACTCACAATGGCTCTTAAAGCGTTTATTCTTTGAGATCCTCAAGGGCCCTAATTGCCCTACTTCTCTCTATACATCTTAAAATAGTTTTGGAATATATTCGAATTGAACTTACCAGATACTTTGGTGAAGGGAAGAATGTCTGCTCGATCAAGGGGAAATTCTCTTTACCCAAACGGCGTTGCAGCTGCTGCAAATGGGCAAATACCCATGGTTTATCCTGAAATAATGAAAAAAAAGTATTAGTATTTTAAATATGCAATAGTCAATTGTAGATGCCAAACATTAATAGGTACTTTGCGAATAAAGAGTGAACGTATGACTTGTAGAAAAATCGGTAAATACCAAAATAACGACAGATTTGAAGCTGAATTGGAAATTTTAAGAATTGAATACTTTGTATTAGAAAAACGAAGTGAGCTAGAATTCTATAATTTGGAATGAGAGTCACTGATGGAGTGCAGGATAGATATACCATAGGATTTTTTCAACTTTAAGGTTACGAAAAGTTCTAAAATGGTACTAAACTTCAAAAAGGGTACCACTCGGTACTATGAGAACGGATAGAGCTAAAAATTTGAAATTTGGTATGAGAATTAAAGTTGGAAAGTAAGTTTGGTATATGAAGGTGGTTTTAGAAATGTCTACTAAGTGTGAGAACTGTACTAAATGGTACTAAATTTTGTACAATTCGGTATTGAGCGAACATATAATGCTTGAAATCAAAAAGTTGATATCATTTGTAGCGTGTGCATATGGATGTGGTTATGGAAATATGTACCATAATTGTACGAAAAGTACAAAATTGGTGGGGGTGAAGCAATAAAGCTGAAGTCCTGAATTTTGATATTGATTTTGGATACCACTATTATTGTATGTAGTTGAGAGAAGAAGTTGGCTTTCGATATGCCTACTATAACTGTACTAAGTAGTACTAAATATGGCAATGGTGGAAAATTAAAGAAGAGAAATACTGACATTTGATATCACGGTTAAAGTTGGTATGTGAGGTTGAGAATATGCAGATTATTTTGAAAATACATACTATAACTGTTCGAAAGTTACTGAATGGTACTGAATTGGGCATTGGTTAAAGGGATATAAATAAGATTCTGAAATCTGATATTAAGATAACTGTTGTTATGTGAGGTTGAGATTTCGAGGAGGGGTTTGGAAGAGCGTACTACATTTGATTGAAAAGTACTAAATTAAAGTAAATTTGGTATTGGAATGGCATACAGGTTAGATGTAAAAAACTGCAACTAACTTCAGATTGGTGTCTTTCCTAAGTCACTCGTCCGATAGCCGTTAAAATTGTTCCAGTGACAGCTCATTATATTGTTTACAAGCGTACAAAAGCATTTTGGTGAGAATTTTCCAGAATAAAAGTTATTCGTGATGGAATTCAAGCGTGATAGTGTGATTTCTTTATATTTGGCTGGAAAACCACAAGTGTTAGAGCAATCCAGCATTTAAATGTGAACAGATCTTTTGTGTCTCGTACCATCGCTCGTTACCGTGATACTGGTAGCGTAGCCTGACGTCAAGGAAGTGGACGGAAGAAAACAGCAACATCAGCAGAAATGGTTCGAAAAGTAAAGAAGCGACTTGATCGAAACCCGCGTCGCAGTGGCTGAAAAATGGCTCGTGAGCTGAACGTATCGCAATATTCCATTTGGCAAATATTGAAAAATGAGCTCGGGGTAAAGCCATTGAAATTCCAAAAATAGACGCTAAAGCGCTAAAGAGTGGCTTCGCTTGGCCGAAAGTGGTGAACTGCCGAATTTGGTTTTCTCCGATGAGAAAACGTTCGTTGTCCAGCAGGTTGTAAACAAACAAAATGATCGTGTTTACATGCCAAAGAGGTCAGCTGAAAATGTGCACCTTTGATTGGCCAGACCAGTTGACCAGAGCCGGCCACTCAAGCGACTGCCATGGTGATGGTATGGGCCATCATTACCGCCGATGGTCGCTCTCCGCTCGTATTAATCGACCGTGGCATCAAAATAAACGCTTAATATTGTCGCGAAAATATTCTTGAGGGTGTATTAAACCCTTGGGAACGCAAACATGTTGGCAGCAGACCTTGGACATTCCAACAGGACTCAGCACCCTCGCTTCATTTCCAGCGCACAGTGGCCACCAAATCTCCGGATACCAATCCGTTGGACTATTGTGTCTGGAGTATTTTGGAAAGCAAGGTTGGCACTAAAAAATACCAAAGTGTCGATCACCTTAAGCAAGCTCTTCGCGGGAAATGGGGAAAAATACCGCAGATCAACAATCGGGAAGCGTGTGACGGTTTCATTGACCGTTTGAAGGCCATAATTCGAACAAATCTAAACTTATTCTAAAATTTGATGCTATTTCCGACATGTTTTGTTTTCATTCAATAAAATTTAAAAAAAAGTAAAAATTATGGCGTTTGACTTTGTTGCAGTTTTTTATCTCGCCTGTATACCCTCTCTAGCCATATGGCATGGCTGAAGGTATAAAAACTAGGAATTGTCGTAGGTCAAATTTTGAATTCCAAGTTACAGCAAAATTGTGTTGACATTTGCCGAATATCGGTAGGTATCGCTGTGCAGCAGCTATACCAAATTACAGTGGGAACCTAAATGGTAAATTTAAAGTTAATTTCGTTGAAAATGCATCGAAACCTATTAAATACCTCAAATCAAAAGGTATCCGTTACAATAGAAGATTGTATATATAGGTTCACGTTTTGGTGTAAGACCCATATAAGGGTTATGCCCACCCTATGGTACTTTGAAAGCTTCAACTGCTTTCGCAAAAAGATGTCACTGGCACTTGCAGCTTAAAGTCAAACACGTTCGAATCATGAAATTTTTATTTAAACATTTTTTCTTTGCCTCTTTGAAAATTAGGCACACAGAATTTAACAAAATTACAACTTTTCTTGTGATACTTCAAAGAGGCCCCGAATATTGGGGGTCCATAAAACAAAAAGTACATTACGTTGGAAATACTCTGCGACACATGTCTTTTAGTTTTCGGCATTTATTTGTGATGCACTGCATATGAAAAAACCCCCACATAAATTGCTATACGTGTCGTACATAACTCTTAAATATATTTCTTAAATTATGTTTCAATATTTATCGTAAAGACCACCCCATCAGTTTGACAGCTACAAATTACAACTTCGACAAATATTAAAAATTGTTGAAAGTCTTACCTGAAATTGGTAAATCGAATGCAATGAATTAATGCTGGGAACACCGCCGTATTTTAAGCCCAAAATTGTTGAACGATAATCATTGGCTCCATCGCGTGGTGGCTGGCGTATGAGAACAAAATCTGGTCGGAACATGCGTGGAATCTGTCAACAAAAACAAATTAGAAATTAGTAAAATATTGATTTTAAATTGCTTTCATGCACTCACCCTCGAATCACCACGATGTACCTCCATTGTTACCACTGGACCAGATTCTGCACTGGCATGTAGGGTTATGTCCTACAAACAAAATAATAAAATAATTATAAATATTTTAAATTGCATTATTTGTCATACAACTCACCCTGAATTCCGCCTGTTCCACGCGTATATCATAATCGCCATGCAAACGTTTTCCCCGGAAATATTTCGACCAATCCGTATTGTGATCATCGAGCACCAATAGCGTAAAGTATTTATCCTTATTGAAGGCCGGAGCACGGGTAGCACTTTGTACCGCAGCACCTTTATCGATGTGCGTGTTTGTGTGTGTGCGCGTGTAAAATGCATGAAAAGTTATGATTAGTGATAAATTTCGATTAAGATTTTACACCAAGGTAACGGGCTTGGGCTCGTATCACATGCATTGCAGTTTTAGTTATTGTCTCAAAAAAGAAAAAAAAAAAAAAAATAAAGAAATTTTAACATTCAAATAAGTGGCCTTCTTTTGAATTTCATTTTTGTAGAGCGTGTATGTTTGGGAACAATTTTTTTTTAAGTTAAGTAACAATTGATATTTGTAAAATATATATTGATAACACTTGAAAATATATATGAATTAGACCTAAATAAGGTCAGGGGGTATAGGGGGTAAATAACTTAAAAAGAATAACAACTATTAGTTTTTAAGGACATTGACTTATGAACTAGTTCGCATATTCACAATTATAAGATACGATATCTAGATTTTTATAATATTTTTTTTTTCGTTCAGCCAACAAATTCATAACAGTAGAAAAGATACAAACTTCTGATATAGTTTCGTGGAAACAAGTAAAATTGTATCAGTCCGTTTTGATGGCAGATTTATACCCCCCGCCTTGAGTTATGATTATTTAAACTGTTGACTCTTTATGGGGGACGTTCCGAAGCAGTTGGCCAACATTGACCAATTCGTATCTGACCTAAGACTGATAAAAATATTACAACATGCCAAATTTTCACTACATCGTCTACTTCCTACACTCGTATATGAAATATGTGATATTCCGATAAATTGGACATTCATATCAGATTTCTGGTTAAGAGAAATATTTAAATATAGCAAGTTGTAAATAATCGCAGACTTGTTTTGCAGTTGTGACTGACATAAGTATTGGAAATTTTGACCCGTTGTGGGTGAGGTACCAGAAGGGTTTGGTAGATATATATATCATCTTCACAACAGATCTTGCGTTAGAAAAAATGTTTGTATGTGTGAAATTTGAAGAGAATTGGATACCTATTTCGCTGTTGTTTTTCAAAAATCTTGAACCCTATGTGGAGTAGGTACCAGAAGAAGTGGTCCGATTTGTACCATATTTATAACCGATATATTACATTAACACATCAGAGCTTGGTTTAATAAAAATATTGTGATCTGAGTAATTTGACGACAATCCGACACTTACATCACATTTTATAAGACTTATAATTATTCAACATGTTGACCCTTTATTGGAGAGGTACTTGATGGAGTGAGCCGATATTGTCCATTTTCGCACCTGACCTAGGACTGATGCCAATGTTACGATTTGCAAAGTTGAAGCAAAATCGAATAATCCTTTTCCTTCTGTGCAGTAAATTACTTTCTTTGAAAATGTTGACATTTTGTGGGGGAGGTACCAGAAGGACCTACTACGAACTCGATCTAATTTTGATAATAATGTTACGATGTACCAAGTTTGGACTAAATCGGATACTCCGTTCAAGAGTTATCGTGCGCACCCTCCACCATGTGAAAATCTATATATATATATATATATATATATATATATATATATATATATATATATATATATATATATGTATATATATATATATATATATATATATATATATATATATATACATATATATTTATATATATATATATTCTTGATAAGTGTAAAATTCTATGATAATTTAGCCATGTCCATCTCTCCGTCCGTTGTAATCAAGCCAGAGAAAAAACGAAAACGAATTAAAATAGGAAGCTAGAATTTTGCACCGATCACCCTTTTGTGTGCAGGCAGGTCAAGATCGAAGATAAACACATCGGTCCACCATATCGTATGGCCCCCATATGACGGTACCCTCCGATATTCGGTATTTTGATGATTTTATGCCCCTGTCTTAATGGAATTATCTGAAATTCTACACAAGGAGTTCTTAGCGAGTACTTTATCGCTTGGATGATTGTAGCTAATATTTTTATACCCTCCACCATAAGGTGGTCAGGGTATTATGCCTTTCTGCATTTGTTTGTAACATGTAAAAGGAAACGAGATATACCCATAGTTCCTTTTGATATCTGCATAAAATCACATTCACGATTTATGCATGTCCGTCCGTCCGTCTGTCTGTCCATCCGTACGTCTGTCCATGTATTTTTGTAAAAAAAGTACAGGTCGCATTTATTGCCCCATCCAGATGAAATTTTGCACAGATCATTTGTTTGGCCCAAGGACGAACCCTATTGAAACTGGAGATAATCGGTCAAAATTTAGACATAGCTCCCATATATATCTTCTTCCGATTTTCATTTTATTGTGCACCAAACGTGTCATATCAGCCCGAATTGTATGGAATTTTGCATATACACCCAAATTAGGCCTGAAAATAAGTACGCCAAATTTGATCGAAATTGGTTCAGATATAGCTATAGCTCCCATATATATTGTTCATCCGATTTGTTATTTTTGTCCTCCGCAGCCGTAATATGCACTCTGTAACAACAATATTTGGGGAAACATAGCAAATACAGCTCAGAAATACTATTGCTAAATTTAATCGGTTCAGATTTGAATATATCTCCCATATATAACTTCGTCCGATTTACCTTTTATTGTGCAAACGTCTAATATTTGACCAAATGGGATGGAATTTAGCAATTAGGCCCGGATTGAGTCTAGAAGTTAGTATGTTAAAGGTTCAGATATAGCTATAACTCCCATATATATTGTTCGTCCGATTTGTTATATTTGTTACTCACAACCGTAACATGCACTTCAGCCGATTTTGGTGTTTAAGTCCCTTACATTCGTTATATGCACTCCACAGGACTGATATTTAGCACCAGATATCAGTTACAAGCCTAGAAATTCATAGATCAAATTCTATGAAGTTCGGTTCAGATTTGGATATAACTCCCATATATATATATATATATATATATATATATATATATATATATATATATATATATATCTTCATCCGATTTTAGGTTTCTTGTGCACCAAATGGCTAATGTCTGTCCAAATGAAGTGAATTTTGACACTTCCGACCGAATTTAGTATAAAAATATGTACTTTAAATTTGGTGGAAATCGGTTCAGATACAGCTATAGCTACCATATGTATGTTTCATTCGATTTTGGTGTTTAAGTCCCTTACATTCGACTTACCAGATATTAGATTCAGCCTAGCAACACATGATTCAAATTTTATGAAGTTCGGTTCATATATTTATATATCTTTATGCGTTTTTAGGTGTATTGTGCACCAAATGGCTAATATCAGTCCAAATGATTGTGAATTTTGTCACTTTCGACCGAATTTAGTATAGAAATAAGTACTTTAGATTTGGTGGAAATCGGTTTAGATATAGTTATAGCTCCCATATATATGTTTCATCCGATTTTGGTGTTTAAGTCCCTTACATTCGTAATATGCACCCCATAAAAATGATATTTGATACCAGATATTAGATATATATATATATATATATATATATATATATATATATATATATATATATATATATATATATATATATATATATATATATATATATATATATATATATATATATATATATATATATATCTTCATCCGATTTTAGGTTTCTTGTGCACCAAATGGCTAATGTCTGTCCAAATGAAGTGAATTTTGACACTTCCGACCGAATTTAGTATAAAAATATGTACTTTAAATTTGGTGGAAATCGGTTCAGATACAGCTATAGCTACCATATGTATGTTTCATTCGATTTTGGTGTTTAAGTCCCTTACATTCGACTTACCAGATATTAGATTCAGCCTAGCAACACATGATTCAAATTTTATGAAGTTCGGTTCATATATATATATATATCTTTATGCGTTTTTAGGTGTATTGTGCACCAAATGGCTAATATCAGTCCAAATGATTGTGAATTTTGTCACTTTCGACCGAATTTAGTATAGAAATAAGTACTTTAGATTTGGTGGAAATCGGTTTAGATATAGTTATAGCTCCCATATATATGTTTCATCCGATTTTGGTGTTTAAGTCCCTTACATTCGTAATATGCACCCCATAAAAATTATATTTGATACCAGATATTAGATTCAGCCTAGCAATACACGATTCAAATTTTATCAAGATCGGATCAGATTTGGATAAAGCTTTCGTATATATCTTTGTCCGATTTTAGGTTTCTTGTGCACCAAATGGTTAATTTCAGCCCAAAGTGAGTGAAAAGTTGCACTTCCGAGCGAATTCATTCTAGAAGTTAATAATTAAAGTTTGGTGGAAATCGGTTCAGATATAGCTATATCTATATGTTTCATCCGATTTTGGTGTTTAAGTCCCTTACATTCTTAATATACACCCCATAAAAATGATATTTGGTACCAGATATTAGATTCAGCCTAGCAATACACAATTCAAATTTCATCAAGTTCGGATCAGATTTGGATAAAGCTTCCCTATATATATATCTTCGTACGACTTTAGGTTTTTTGTGCACCAAATGGGTAATTTCAGCACAAAGTGAGTGAAGAGTTACACTTCGGAGCGAATTCGTTCTAGAAGTTAACATTAAAAAATTGGTGAAAATCAGTTCAAATATAGCTCTAGCTCCATATATATGTTTCATCCAATTTGGTGTTTAAATCTCCAACTTTCGAAATTTGCACTCTACCATAAAAATAACTTGTACCAGATATCACATAGAGCTCAGAAATGTCCAAAAAAAACCTTTTTTTTCGAGAGCTCTACTAAATATGCATAGTGGTGTAGGGTGTCATATAGTCGGTCCCGCCCATCTTTTGAGCTTTCCTTACTGGTTTAGATAAGAAATGTGTTTTCTAAGTCTTAAGTATTTATGTCCAAAAATTTTATATGGATTAATTAAATTCTTCTGTATGCAAAAGTAATCCTCCTATCAGATACTCCTACCCTATAAATTTTATTTAATTGGCCACTAATGTCAATTCTGTTTTGACATTTTTGTAAAAAACACATGGGAAATACACGTTAATAAGTAATGTTTCGCTACACTGCTCCAGAATGCGGAATATTGGTGACTATTCATTTGACCCATAAACGGTCGGTGACTTTGGCACAGCGTGAATTTCGTCGCAGATTTCCTGGCCGTTCAACGCCTACTGGTAAAACACTGCGACATTTAGCCGCTCGGCTCGAAGAGAGTGGCGCAACAAGAGGCGTGGCATACCCCGGAGCATCCATTCTGCAGAGAATATTGCTGCTGTAGCCGAGGGTGTCATGGAAACGCCGTCGACATCGACCAGACGACGTGCCACGCTCAAATGTGTCTCAGTCGGCGGTCTTTACAGAAAAATTTTAATACAAGATTTGAAGATGTTTCCATACAAAGTGCAAGAGGTGCATTAGCTGTTAGCTGCTGACCGCCAATCGCCCATTTCCACCCATTTCCATCATAGCGGCAAAATTCACGCTTCTGGGACACTGAAAATCCGAAGAGGCATTACACCCGCTCAAGGTCACTGTATTGTGTGCTGTTTTCGCTTGAGGAGTCATTAGACCTTTTTTCTTCGAAGACGTCGCGGGCCAAACGGTTACTGTGAATGCTGGGCGCTACAAAACAATGATCAACGCCTTCTTTTTGTCGCAACTTGATGAGTTGGGTTTGGAAAACATGTGGTTCCACAATCGATATGCTGAAGGATGCATTTCCGCTATTTGCACTGGCTAGAAAAATCGCCTGATTTGACCGCTCCAGACTTCTTTTTGTGGGGCTTTCTGAAGTGGCGGGTTTATGTCAACAAGCCTCAGACTCTTTCTGCTCTTAAAGACAATATCCGTCAAGAATGTGAGGACCTATAGCCGGAAGTTTTGATCCAAGTGATGGGAAATGCCATAAAAAAAGGCTCAAGTGACATTAAGTTCGTCATTCCGTTTGCAGCTCATCGAAATAATAATTTTAGACCTAACAGCGTAAAATTCTAAGACGATGTAGCCCTGTCCGTTCGTCCGACCGTCTGTTGCAATCATGCTAGAGTCAAAACGAATTTAGATAGGAAGCTAAAATTTTGTACAGATCAGTCTTTTCGAAGATGAGCTACATCAGTACACGATATCGTATATGTATGAAATGGCACCTCCCTATATTCGGTTTTTTATGATTATTGCCACATTTTTCAATGGAATTGTGCGAAAATCTTCACAAGGAGTTCTTCTGAGAAGTTTGCCCCCTGGAAGAGAATTGTCTATATAGGTCCACGATATCGTATATCCCCCATTTAACGGCACCTCTCAATATTCGGTATTCGAATGATTGTAGCTAAATTTTTAAATGGAATTATCTGAAAATCCTCTCAAGGAGTTCCTTCTGAGAACTTCGCCCCCTGGTCCACGATATTGTCTATATAGGTACACGATATCGTATATCCCCCACATAACGGTACCTCCCAAAATTCGGTGGATGATTGCAGCTAATTTTTTCAATGAAATTGTCTAAAAATCCACACAAGGAGTTCCTTCTGTGCACTTTAATCTCTGGAAGAGAATTGTCTGTATAGGTCCACGGTCCCGCATATAACGGTATGATTGTACTTTTATGATTGTAGCCACATTTTTTTGATGAAATTGTCTGAAATTCCATCCAAGGAGTCTCTTCTGAGTACTTTACTATTCTAGAAGAAAATCGTCTACATAGGTCCACGATATCGTATAGCCCCCATACAATGGTGCCCCCGATATTCCATAATACGATAATTTTAGCCACATTTTTCAATGGAATAGTCTGAAAATCCACACAAGCAGTTCCCTATTTTACCCCCTGGAAGAGAATTGTCTCTTTTAGTATGGCATCCATATAACGCTAGCCGAGATATTCGATATTTCCAGTATTTTCGCGACATTATTCACCGGAATTGCATCAAATTTCGTATTTGAAGTTCGTAGCGGTTAGTACAACCTATGACGGAAAATAGACTATGCTATTCCACGTCTTAGTATAGCCCCCATACAACGGTACCTCCCTTTATACGGCATTTTGATGATATTAGCGACATTATTCACCGGAATTGTTTCGTATTTGAAGTTCGGAATCATCACTACAGCCTATGACAAAAAATTACTTATCCAGCACCACGTCTTCGTATAACCCCCATATAAAGCTTTTCATTTGAGCGGTATTTTTCGACGGATTTTTTTTTTGTTGAGAATTTTCAAGTTCTTCCGAATGTTGGAGGATTTAAAAATAATAACATTTCTATTGGATTGTATGTATGATTGAGGTATGGAAGTAATTTTGGAAATTTTAAGTGTAGCATTAGGGTATATAGGATGTTTGGAAATTCGTACTAATGTGCTATACATTTGGTACAATTTGGAACCGGCTGCGATCCTGAAATGTGGAATTAGGATGACTCATGAAGTGTAGGATTGGGGCATGGGCTCGTAGTTAATAGTACTACATTTACTACAACATGTATTTGAGCGAACCGAAAGTGGTTGAATCCTGGAATTTGGAATTGGGATTACTGTGGGAGTATAGGATTGGGGTATGTAGAGAGCTTTGTACAAATTTGTACTAAATAATACTACATTTTGTACAAAATGGATAAGGGTGAACCTATAGAGCTGAAGTCCTGAAATTTGGAATTATTTTTGGAAATAACTACTATAATTGTATTAATTGTACGGATAGAGTTAGAATTGGGAGAATATATCAAAATGAGTGCCTGGCCAATTCTTCAACGTCCAGGGGATACGGCTGAAGCCAGAATCTTCAGATATTGGTGGGTAGGATTTTTTTTAGGATTGCACAGTGGAAAGTGGAAGATCGATTGGAAAATCGTCTTATTGTGTTTACAACATTGTACAGCCTAGCCAAATTTTCGACAAATCTATCCTTAAGGAAAAAAATATTAAATCGGAGTTAAATTGCTCCACTCTGACTTTGAATAAAAATAATCTAAAATCGATTTTGGGCTTATAGGGGGAAATAGACAAATCGAAAAGTCGATTTTGGGGTTGTCTTCAAGCGAAAGTCGAAATGTCTTTCTGTCGACTTTTGTTCTCAGTACAACGGATTTATAGTAGGAACACGCTATTATTGGATAAACGACTCAAAGGTTTGTCATTTTTAAATGTGACGTCTAAAAATATAAAGTCTTTAAAAAATGCCCATCGTCAGTGGTAAAATTGATCCTGCCACAAGGTGATAAAAGTACATATTAACAATTAAAAAAGCTGTACGTTCGGCCGGGCCGAACTTTGAATACCCTCCACCATTTGGAACGAATTTAGGAATATTCAAAAAATAAAATCAGTTAACAATTCTGTAAAAATCTTAAAAATACCGAAAGTAGCCGTTAAATTAGAGTCTATAGAATGAGGTGGATCTGCACAGACAATTTTCCGTCTTAGGCTGTAGTCTCCATTGCGAACATCAAATAATAAATGTGAAACAATTCCGGTGAATAATCTCCCTAAAATCATCAAAATACCGAATATTGGGAGGTGCCGTTATAGGGGAGCTATACCAAAACGTGAACCGAAATGGCCCATTTTCAATACCAAAAGTCCTGCAGATATAATATACGTTTGTGTAAAATTTTATCAATCTACTTCAATTCGTTCGGAAGTTGGAGCAACGGACGGACGGATATATACTTTGTGGCCTTTAAAATGTGTATTTCGAGGTGTAACAAACGGAATGACAAACTTAATATGCTTTTCATACTATGATGGAGGGTATAAAAATTTTTAAATCGATATCGATTTTCGCTTGATAAGTTAAAACTCGAATATTGACTTTGGCTGATTGAAAATATGTTGGATCAAAACCCGAATTTTTCGGATGAAGCGAAAGTCGAAATTCGAAAATTGCTTATAGAGTATGGGGGTCCCCCAATGTAAACGATAATTATCCCAAAACATACGTCTCGAAGGCCTCGCTTTATTTGAATGTTGCATATCTCGTTCTATCGCAGAAATTATTTGAGTACCATATGTATGTGTAGATATGTGTGTAGTATAAAGCCTATTATACAGTGCATTATTTAAGTATATAGCTAAAAGTGTTAGTAGTATTTGTTGTTGTTTTTTTTTAACTTCGTGCAAAATGTACGTTAGTTTGTTTTTTTTTATGTGATTGAGCATTCCAAAATCATAAGCGTTCCAAGTGAAACAAATTTTCAAAATTTAAATTGGTTATACCCAAAATTGAAGCGCCTTGATCTCGTGCGGCTCCCGTTAAGCTTTGAACACGTTGCAACAGACTTTCACGCGATTTAGCCGGACTAGTGGGCGCACTAACGCCACGGGGCGGAGCTGCGGTGGCCGTTGGATTGTTGGCTGTTGTCTTGCCAAAACTTAACGAGAAGTCTGGTGCATTGCCCGTCGGTTGTGGCGGTATGTTGGCGGTGCCCGGTGCCGGCGGTGGTGGCATGTTAGGTGGGCCACCCGACGAAACCGCTGTCGGTGGTTTCGTTGGCTGTTCCTGGATGGGACGCGCTGCCGGTGGCAAATCATTGGGGTCGATATCATCAGCCTCGGAAGATAAATCCCCCGAGCTGAATCTGTGGGTGTGTGAGAGTGTTGGGTGTAATTTTTGTTGTTGTTGGGGGAGGGATTTCCGTTACGTTGAGTGTTTAGATGAGTTTTTTGTTTTGTTTTTGTAGGGAAAAATGTGTCATATTTTATTACATACGTACGAGAGAGAGAGATAAAAAAACAGTGTAGAAAAATACAAAAAAAGAAGGAGAAGAAAGAGAACAAAGAGAGCCAAACCATATGAAATTTTAAATTAGTACGACTTGATTTCTGGGGGGAGAAAAGCGTAGATTCTTTTAAACGTTTTTACCTTCTCTTCAGGAAATTAACATTGGAAGTAAAACTGCTCTTGAACGATGAGAAATTCAGGGTGCCGGTTTTAGTTTCCTTCTATGGGTGGATTTTTTGAAGAAAAAAAATACAATTTTTTGGGTCGACGGATTAACAAACGATTTGTTAAAAGGACATTTAATCAAAATCGTTTGTTTGATTTGAAGAATCACAAGAGAAAAAAAAAACAAATTCGAATGGTAAAAAAATCAGAGAGAGGGAAGAGACAGAAGTTGTTGGAAAAAATAAATATTTTTTGGTTAGAATTGTTGTTGTCTTTTCGAATTATTTTTTTAAACATTTAAAGCGTTTTGTTTTTTAATAATTAAAAAATAAGAAAATATAGTAGACAAAACACAAGACAAAAGCCACAAAATAATGATAAAGAAGAACTAAAGATTTGTTTGATAAGAAAGGTGCAGTTATTGTTAATCTCTAGTTAAAGGTAGTTGCTATTGTTGTTGTTGTTTTTCTTCTTTTTCATATTTCCTCATTTTCGGAATACTTCAAATGAAAATTCACACCAGCAAAGATGGTAAAAAACATTAAAACTCAGATTCCGTTGTGGACAGTTCAAAAGGACCCTTCCGGCAAATTTCGTTTAAAGAAATTTTTGGGCAGGGGCCGGGGAGGTGCCACCGGATTCTTTTACTTAAAATTTCATATGCTTAGGATTCCCATACATTGCGATTAGTACATATTTTCTTTCAATATGAGAATAAAATATTATAGTAACAAACTACAGCCAGGATGGGGAGAGAGAGAGAGAGACAGAGAGGAATATCCTGTCGTTTGCATGTTGGCGTGAGTGTGTAAATTTTTTTTTTATTTAAATTTATGTTAAAATACACATACACACTTATACATAATGGAAAGAAACACACACATGGAAATATACAAATGTTTTGATGAAAAGATGTAAAGAAAAAAACAAAATACTTAACCTCATTGTTTTTCTTAATATCCGCCAAAAACATTAACACATGGTGTGATACAAAAAAAACACACACACACACTGACAGAGAAATATGGAATCTTAAAGGATGATGAGGATTGTGTGATGATAAATGAAATGGCATACAGATGCAAGAAAGCGTAACATAATCCCATTGTTTTGCAAAAGGATATTTAGCTAAAATACTTTTCCTTTTTGGGGTTAGTAATGGGACAATCAAATGGAGAAGCTGTTTTTGTATGCCAAATGAGATTTTTTTGGTTTAAAGCCAAAAGAGTTGGCTTCATTAGGAGTAATGAAATTTGGCATGACCCATTGAAGATGGAGAGCATAAAGTTATAACTTAGAAATAATGTGGAACATTGAGAATTGGAGCATAGTACATATTTTTAGACAAAACATTTGTTCACCAATTGAATAGCTCAAATTGTTGGCTACGAAAGAATATAGAAAGAATATAGAAAGACCAAACTCTAAGAATTAATTTGGCATCTCCTTAGAATTGGTTACTAATCTTCTAAAACCCATCTAACATTCCCATCAAAACACTCCAGAGAATGGCTTCTAATGGTCTCATATATAATCTCCTTTAAAGACTTTTCACACATAGACCAGGTTTTGTATGAATAAAACCTTCTATAAGTCTCTCGTAGAGAAAAACCTTCAAAAGTCCTTGCATGCATATTGGACCTACTTCTTTTGCGAACAGCAGACGTTTGAAAGGTTTTTCTATATATAGAATGAGAAAGAGCAACAGTTCTCCCAAAGATCTGCAACAAACAAACAAGGAGTAGGTTCCGAATGAATGGACCACAATTGTCCATTTCGTATCGGACCTCAAAAAATATGATATAAATATTGCGATGTGACAGGTTTCGACTATATTGGTTACTTTTATTTTTAGAAAAATCGCTAATTTTTTCTACAATTTATGACAGGTAAAAGTATTGAAAATAGTGACCCTTTGTGGGTGAGGTACTAGAAGGGGTTTGCAGATGTACATCATCTTCAAAAACAGATCTTGTGTTAGCAAAAATGTTTGTGTGGGTGAAATTTGAAGAAAGCTGGATGCTTATTTCGCTTTCTTCGAAAAATCTTCAAAGCCTTGAACCCTATCTGGGGGAGGTACCTAAAGAAATGATCCGAAATCTACCATCTTTGTAACATATATTGCGTTGATGGAAATATTGAGATGTACCAAGACTGAATGGAATCTGATGTTAATTTCACATTTTATGAGCTTTATGGATATTCAAAATTTTGAAGCTTTGTGACGGAGGTACCAAAAGGAGTAGGCCGATATATCCCATCTTTACATCAGAACTTGGGTTAATAAAAATTTTGTGATGTGTGAAATATGAAGAGAAGCGAATGCTTATTTCGGACTTTATAATCGTTTTGATTATTCAAAAATTTGACCCTATGTGGTGGAGGTACGAGAAGAAATGGTCCAATCTCTATCATCTTTGTAACAGACCTTGTGTTGATAGAAATATTGAGATTTGTCAAGCCTGAATGGAATCGGATGTTAATTTCGCGTTTTATGTGCTTCATGAACGTTCGAAATTTTGACCCTTTGTGGGAGAGGTGCCAGAAGGAGTGGGCCGATATATTTCATGTTCACACCAGACCTTGGTTTAATAAAAATATCGGGATGTGTGTAATTTGAAGATAATCGAACTCTTACATCACATTTTATAAGAGTTATAACTATTCAAAATGTTGACCCTTTGTGGGGAGGTACTTGATGGAGTGAACCGATATTACCCATTTTCGCACCTGTACAAATATTAGAATTTGCAAAGTTTGGGCATAATCGGATTATCCTTTCTCTTTCTGTGCAGTAAATTATTTCCTCTGAAAATATTGACATTTTGTGGGGGAGGTTCGAGAAGGAGTGGACCATATATTCTCCATCTTGGAACTCGATCTAAGTTTGACAAAAATATTACGATGTACTAAGTTTGGTTAAATCGGATACTCCCTTCGAGATTTATCGTGCGCACCAGCCAGACAGACGGACGAACGAACGGACCTCGCCTGAGCGACTACAAATGTCCTGAAACGGATTTGGTCCAAAGAGACCTAGGGTCTAAAGCCGTTATTTCGACTAGGCACGTTTTGGCCGTATCAAATGATATATACCCTCTGTAGCCATATGGCTGAGGGTATAAAAAGCCGTCTAACGATCTTCTATACTGAAAATACCTCCTAAACGCCTCCTAAAATTCGATCTTTCAAGTCTTCTTTCTCCTAAAGGCCTTCTAATTACAAATGAGCTTTCTAAGTTCTAGTATGGCTGGTCCTGTATCCGTTTTAAGGTATTTCGTTAAGGGAAGATCTACAAATGACCTTTTGATGCAGCATTTTTTAAAGGTTCTTATTGAAAGGAAACCCTTCTAAAAGTCCCCATTTGAAGGAACACATTTTGAATGTCTTCTACGATACTCCCAGAGATCTACAGAAGGAGAATAGGAGATTTTCTCCAACTGATTTAGAGACTTTATAATATGTGCTCAATGCCTAGATGAATTTTTGAATGTCTTTTGCAACACTCTCCAGAGATCTAATGGAGGAGAATTGGGGATTTTCTTCAACTGACATGGAGACTTCATATATGTATTCAACGCCTACATGAATTTGTGGAGATATTTTATAGAGCTTCTCCTGAAAAAACTTTATTAAAGGTCTTCTATGCGCATAGGAGTTTTAAAGGTCTTATATTTATAAAAATAAATTCTAAAGAGCCTTCATGAATGAAATACCTTCAAAAACCTTCCGAAGGACATAGTAGATTTTGAAGGATACTTAAGGGACTTTATATGTCTTTTATATGTCTATAATACCTAGATGAATTTTTGAATGTCTACAATACTCCCCGGGGATCTACAGGAGAAGAATTGGAGATTTTCTCCAACTGACATGGACACTTCGTAGATGTCCTCAATGTCTATATTCGAGCTAATTTCACTTCATGCACCAATTTGAACATTTCGGAGTTATGATAAATGGCGTTTTGAAAGGTATACCCGTTTTCTAAAAACCTTCTAAAGAGGTTTTGCGGGTAGAAGGCATTCTAGAGGTCATCAAATTGGGCCAATCTAGTTCGATCAAACGAACTAGTTCCGCCTCTGGTTCTGCGTATGAGTGATATGGAATTTATGAAATCACTCATACGTTTAGGAATTGGTGCACTAAACTATGAACTAGATTGACACAACTCCATCTTCAATGGTTGAATCATCTACTATTGGTCTGCTATGGATAGAAGATTATTTAAATTTTAATATAAACGCTGAGTTTTCATACCAACGCCCGGAGTCCACGGACAAACGATCTTCGATGAATTGAAGTATTTTTAAAAAATTTTCTTTTAAAGAGCTTCTAAATAAAAAGGCTTTCCAAAAGGCCTTTTATGGATAGAGGGTATTCTATGGTTAGAAGAGATTATTCTAGTTTCGTAGACACAATACTCCTAGAGGTCTGTTATGAATCCGAGAGGTTGTAGAGATCTACTGCAAGTAGTAAAAACATTTTTCAAAGGTGTAATAAAAGTATAAGACTTTTATATATGTTAATATAGGATTGATAAAAGGGCTTCCTTATGTTCCTTTATAGGCTTTCCACGACATGGATAGTAAAAATTTTCTCCTGTGGAAAAAAAAATCACATCGTCAATACCCACTGAAAGCGTTCTATAAAACAAAGAAACTCTGATCTTTGCAAAATTTATTTTAATGAGGCAATAAACGTCTTCTATGGATGGCGAACTTTCCAAAGATTTTACAGTTGTCTAAGACTGGAAGATATTCAAAAAAATGATCTTCAAAGTTATAACATAAGACCCTCTGATGATATTCTATGTTATATTAAGTCTACAATAAATAGGAGAGTCTTTCAAATTTGTTTAGAACCCCTTCTACCAGGTACAAACTTTATTCTTCAAGAATTTTAAGGATTATTTATAACTTTCTCTATTGGAAAGGGTTACACTTGGGATCTTTACCAGATATAGAAATTTCCGAAATTGCAAATCATTTAAAGATTTCTATTGATTAATAACCTGTTAAAAGAGACCTTTGAAAAAATGTTATCCTTAGGGAGAGAGTCTAGTACAATCCATTTTGGAACATAATCTTGGAACCGAAAATAAATTAGATAAACTTATTATCAGGCTGGAAATTCGGATCATTGCGAATACTTCCTTAACAATATGGGGTAATACCACGGCCACGGAAGGAGTAATCTTATATATCCCATAATATGGGGAAAATCATGAAAAAGTTTCACAATTTATGCGAGTGATTATCATTCGAAATGATGACCCATTGTGGGGTAGGTATATAATGGACTAATATTTCCCATTTCCCACCTGGCCTTAGTTTGATACAAATATTTCGATAGGAAAAATCTGGATATATTCGCGTTATATATGATTTATTACTTTTCAAAATTTAACAGCCTGTGGGGTAAGTACAAGAGCTAGTTGATTTAGTGGTATAGCGCTAATATTAGTCGATATATTGGAATATGAAAGTTTCAAAAAATTCAGAAGCTAATTACAAAATTAAGAACTTGTGTGGCAAGTACAAAGTTTAGACAATATAACATCTTATAATACCTTGGAAAGTTCTTGTGTAGACCAGCCGGCTAGTCAGAAAGATATACTAACGACTACATCAACTCGAAGTGTTCTGGAAAGGATTTTGTTCACAGCGGCGCCGGTATTTTGATAAGGCACATTTTGGCGTTGGCCCATTGCATACATCTCCTGGAGAATAAAAGCTAAGGGAAAAAAGGAGCTTATAGGACCTGTGGTCGATATAGTTCATAATCCTCCCAGAACTATGTTTAGCCGAACATTGGCCAAATTGCCCTTTGAAGTTGTCAAAACTTGGAACTAGCATTCCTAAATCAATTCTATTTGATCAAATGTTTCATAGCTATTTTGATTATATTTTCATGCCACGGACTACTTCTACCCTAGGCTTCATGACTTCAAGTCGTATTCAAGTCAAACTCATAGTTGCATTTGTAGACGAACTGAAACTCGATTTACATACGACCTTAAAGTCGAACTAATTTCCAAAATACTCTTTAGTCTCTAAGCGTGAAGACACCTAAAGTGCTAAACCATAACCCCAACTTATAACGTTACCTTGGTTATATGCAACTAAATAAACGCAATCCTCCTATCTAGGTGTTCTTTTGTTCATTTTATTCTATTAAATGAAAATAAAATAGAGAAAATAACCCCTACTTGCTGAATTGCAAGAAATATAATCCAGTCATCTCCTTCCTTTTGTGTTACAATCCACATTTTTGTGGTCGGTTGTTAAGCGTTAACCAGACGACGACTGAAAAGAAAACCAGTCAGTCCTCCCTCAATTAAGTATTTAGTGAAACCTTATGAATTTGTAAACAGACGATCCGAGCCAGCCAGCCAGCCATCTATCTCTATTCAGTCATTTACTTAGACAGCTTGTCATTCATGGCAAAAGGAGGGGCCTAAGGGGGGCAAGAGGGGATGGCAACGAATCCGATGCCATTAAGCAATTCAGAATTGAGTGAAATCATCAAGGACGATTGTAACTACATACATAAATATATAACTATCGTCATTTGTTGGTCACGCACACAAATAAACATAAACGCCTTAATTTGTAGTAGGGTACGTCATATTACTAGAGGTGTAAAAAAAAATAGAGAAAATGGCACGAAGACGGATTTTTAGAACACCCCAAAATGGTACTTACAAACGACCTTAAAGACGTCTATGGTAGACGACCCTTAAGGTCGTCTATGACAGACGACCCTTAAAGACGTCTATGGTAGACGAGTCATCTATGGTAGACGACCTCAAAAGTCGTCTATGTTAGACGACCTTAACGTCGTCTATGGTAGACGACCTTAACGTCGTCTATGGTAGACGACCTTAACGTCGTCTATGGTAGACGACCCTTAATGTCGTCTGTGGTAGACGACCCTTAATGTCGTCTGTGGTAGACGACCCTTAATGTCGTCTATGGTAGACGATTCTTAATGTCGTCTATGGTAGACGACCCTTAATGTCGTCTATGGTAGACGACCCTTAATGTCGTCTATGGTAGACGACTCTTAATGTCGTCTATGGTAGACGACCCTTAATGTCGTCTATGGTAGACGATTCTTAATGTCGTCTATGGTAGACGACCCTTAATGTCGTCTATGGTAGACGACCCCAAAAGTCGCCTATGGTAGACGACCCTTAAAGTCGTCTATGGTAGACGACCCTTAAAGTCGTCTATGGCAGACGACCCTTAAAGTCGCCTATGGTAGACGACGCTTAACGTCGTCTATGTTAGACGACCTCAAAAGTCGTCTATGTTAGACGACCTCAGAAGTCGTCTATGGCAGACGACCCTTAAAGTCGTCTACTATAGACGACCTCAAAAGTCGTCGATGTTAGACGACCTCAAAAGTCGTCGATGTTAGACGACCTCAGAAGTCGTCTATGGCAGACGACCTCAGAAGTCGTCTATGGCAGACGACCCTTAAAGTCGCCTGTGGTAGACGACCCTTAAAGTCGCCTGTGGTAGACGACCTTAACGTCGTCTAAAGTAGACAACCTTAACATCGTCTATGGTAGACGACCTCAAAAGTCGTCTATAGCAGACGACCTCAAAAGTCGTCTATGTCGTCTATGGTAGACGACCTTAATGTCGTCTATGGTAGACGACCTTAACGTCGTCTATGGTAGACGACCCTTAAAGTCGTCTATGGTAGACGACCCTTAAAGTCGTCTATGGTAGACGATCCTTAAAGTCGTCTATGGTAGACGACCCTTAAAGTTGTCTATGGTAGACGACCCTTAAAGTCGTCTATGGTAGACGACCCTTAAAGTCGTCTATGGTAGACGACCCTTAAAGTCGTCTATGGTAGACGACCTCAGAAGTCGTCTAGGGTAGACGACGCTTAACGTCGTTTAGGGTAGACGACCCTTAAAGTCGTCTATGGTAGACGACCCTTAAAGTCGTCTATGGTAGACGACCCTTAAAGTCGTCTATGGTAGACGACCCTTAAAGTCGTCTATGGTAGACGACCCTTAATGTCGTCTATGCCAGACGACCTTAAAGTCGCCTATGTTAGACGACCTCAAAAGTCGTCTTTGTTAGACGACCTCAAAAGTCGTCTATGTTAGACGACCTCAAAAGTCGTCTATTTTAGACGACCTCAAAAGTCGTCTATGTTAGACGACCTTAAAGTCGTCTATGGTGGACGACCCTTAAAATCGTCTATGGTAGACGACCCTTAATGTCGTCTATGGTAGACGACCCTTAAAGTCGTCTATGGTAGACGACCCTTAAAGTCGTCTATGATAGACGACCTCAAAAGTCGTCTATGGTAGACTACCTTAAAATTTTCTAAAGTAGACGAGATTATCTCAAAAACTGTCTCCTCCCCACCCTAATACACACATAATTTTCTCTCCATCAGAAAATTGGCAAAGGAGCCAAAACAGTAGCGTAGGTTGAATTACATCACACATCTCTCATCATCTCCAATTTTTCTCTCAAATGTCAAAGGTAACTGGTAACAGTGATAATTGTTAGTGGCGGTCGACGGTGATTGTGGTGGTGGTGGTGGTGGTAATGATGATGGCCAACAATTTGTAATGGTTATTGGGGGGATGGTCGCATGTGTTACAGTGGTTTATTTTTGTTATTGTTGCAACACAGGGTTGGCCAAAAAAAAAAACAATTTTTATATTTTCATAATTTATTTGATTCTGAAATGGATTTGGTTTTTTTTATGTTTCGTATGGTGCAGATAATTAAATGAATAATTCAAATAAAAAAAATCAAAATTTAAGTAAATACAAATATTACAGACACACATTAGTAGTTTTACAGCGTCGTAAGTATGTCGATAAACAATGGAAAATTTGCTTGTTTTTACAAACACACACACACTCATGTGTATGTGTGTGTGCAATGCACACATACATATGTACATATGTAAACCAAATTAGAAAATACTATATACACATGTGTACATGTGTGTGTGTGGTGTGTGCAAATAAAACATGTATGCAAATTATTTACTCGCGTGTGTGTTGTTTTGTTGTTGTTGCTTTTTTTCAGTTCATTCTTTGATTGAATTCAGTAAACAAATGAATCGCACACACAAATGAGGCACAACAAAAAAGTGGTAAAGGCAAAACAAAAACAAGTCGAAACGAAACGAAGAACACAAAAATGACATTGACATGGACATGGAATAACATGGATAACGTGATGGCTTACCGGAGGTGGGGCACAAATTCGCCCGCACCCAGCAGTTGCTATTGCACTTATATTGACCGACTGCGGAAGAGGGCTGACACAGCACTCGCTCTGTTGCTGTTCAGCTGTCGCTAACTTGTCTCCGGCTCTAGCAGGGATTCAACAGTGAGGCGGCACAGAAACGCGTTGATTCGATTTCAGCTGAGGACACTAAAAAACAGAGGAGGACTTGGATAAAACTAGGATATTGATTAGAAATGTAAAATAATAAACAATAAATATTTATTTTAATTTTGTCGAGTAGTGGAATATATAGTAGACAGCAATTGATTGATTGTAATTGCAATGGAAGTGATGTGTCCCTATAACTTTAGAACATATCCCTTAAGTACTCAAAGGGTGTCATAATAGAATAGATTATCCAATGACATCTTCCGTAGAGTTTAAGAGTTTCATAAGGAAATTTGGAACTGTGTAGTGGAGAGTAAAGTGATTCTTACTTGAATAAGAATTTAAGTAAAATCCTTAAACAAATATAAAAAATGTTGTTCGATGTTTTAGAATCTGCTCACAAATTCCACGACGTTTTGTCTTTATAAAATTATTGATATAAAAATATAATATTAACGACAAAAACTCTTCATAATTTTATTAAACATTACATAATTCCTTTGAAAATTCTTTAACAGCGCGTTTTATTAAAACCAGTAAAGAAAATGTAAAATTCGGGCGGGGTCGACTTTATGATACCCCACACCCTTTGCATATATAGTAGAGCTTCACATAAAAAATAAAAGTTTTAATGGAAAATTTGTGAGAATTAAATCATACCAACTATAAGGGTTAGATGAAAAAACTGCAACCAACTTCAGACTGCTGTCATTTCTACGCCACCTACCCGACAGCTGTTAAAATTAATCCAGTGACAGCTCATTATATAGTTTACAAGCGTACAAAAGCATTTTGATGAGAATTTTCCAAAAAAAAAGTTATTCGTGATAGAATGATTTCTTTATATTTGGCTGGAAAACCACAAGTGGCTATCATTAGAGCACTCTAGCATTTAAATGTGAATAAATCTTTTGTGTCTCTTGCCATCGCTCGTTACCGTGATACTGGTAGCGTAGCCCGACGTCAAGGAAGTGGACGGAAGAAAACAGCAACATTAGCAGAAATGATTCCAAAAGAAAAGAAGCGACTTGATCGAAACCCGCGTCACAGTGGCCGAAAAATGGCTCGTGAGTTGAACATATTGCAATATTCCATTGCCATTGAAATTCCAAAAAGTGCAAGAACTTAGATCGCAACAGAAAGAAAATAGACTCAAAAGAGCTAAAGAGTTGCTTTGCTTGGCCGAAAGTGGTGAAATGCCGAATGTGGTTTTCTACGATGAGAAAACATTCGTTGTCCTGCAGTTTGTAAACAAACCAACTGATCGTGTTTACTTGCCATATAGGTCAGTTGAAAATTTGCACCTTCGATTGGCCACCAGAACTCAAGAGCCAGTCATGGTAATGGTCGTTCTCCGTTCGTATTAATCGACCGTGGCAGAATAAATGCCGAATATTATAACGAAAATATTCTGAAGGGTGTATTAAAGCCTTGGGCACGCAAACATTTTGGCCTCAGACATTGGTCATTCTAACAGGACTCAGTACCATTGCACTCGGCACGCGCCATCCAAGAATGGTTACAAAATGGGGTTACTCGCTTCATTTCCAGCGCACAATGGCCACCAAAATCTCCGGATACCAATCCGTTGGACTATAGTGTCTGGAGTATTTTAGAGAGCAAGGTTGGTACTAATACCAAATACCTAAGTGTCGATCACCTCAAGCAAGTGCTTCACCGGAAATGGGCTAAAATACCGCAGATCAACATTCGGGCAGCGTGTGATGGTTTCATTGGCCGTTTGAAGGCCATAATTCATTCCAAAGGCAACCAATTTGAACAAATCTAAACTTATTCTAAAATTTGAGGCTATTTCCGACATTTTTTGCTTTCATTCAATAAAATTAAAAAAAAAAATATGTAAAAATTATGACGTTTGACTTTGTTGCAGTTTTTTTTTATCTCACCCGTATTTTAATTTCATTTAAAAAGTATGTATATCTGCAACTTGTTGGGTCTAATGCCATGTTTACGTTAGAACTTTTTGTAGGGTTAACCTACTTTGAGAGGATTTATTTGAAGTATAAGTAATGGATATGACAATTTTAATCCAAATCCAGTCGGTTAACCCATTTATATATAAACGTACTGTAAAATGAGTTACAAACGGAATGACAAAATGTATGTACCCTACTATGTATGGTAGAGGGTATAATAAATGCATTTATTCCGTCTTTTGTTAATATTTTTCCGAGGACTTCTGAATTATATTCATGTTTCTTCTCCTAAAGTATTTGTGTTGATTTTTTAGAATAAATTTTAAGGGCTTTGGAAGTACAATCGTGAAAATTATTCTGCCCATGTGAAATGCGCAGAAGCACTAGGCCACAAACGTTCCGAAGTGATTAATTTTTAGAAATTTTAGCACAAAAAAGTACTAAGTTTTTAATTTAGGTAAACGGATGCTGGAATTTTGCAATGTTGATATAGGGGTCACAGTTAGTTTGTTGGGTTAAAATGGTTGTAGAAAAAGGTACTTAGTGGTACTAAATTTAGTACATGAGGAAAGGATGGGGCTAGAAATCTAAAAATAGGTATTTGTGGCACTGTTCGTGGGATGGGGAATGAGATATGGTAGGGGTATTGTAAATATCTACTAAAAAGTACGAAAAGTACTAAATTTTATTAAATTTGATATTTGGATAGAGGTGGAAGTCTGAAATTTTAAATTCGGTTGTTTGAGCTTGTATGGGATGGATATACCAATGTTTTTTCGAAATTCGACTAATGCCTAAAGTACTGAAATACAAAAAAAAATTGGTACCACTTGGAATTATGTGAACGGATAGAGGCATAATCTTGACATTTGGTAAGGAATGGGAAATACGGCTGATATGATAGGGATATGTTTGTGTGTGTGTAAGAACTCTGCTATATGGTACTAAATTTGGTACAATATCATTGGGTTGAACGGATGTAGCTGGAATTTGGAAATGTTGGCATTGGTTGCTTGGTAGAGTTGGTGAGAGGTGGAAATGCATTCTACAATTATACGAAAAGTACTAAGTGGTACCACATTTAGTATTGGGTGAACGGATAATGCTTGAAATCCGAAATTGTTCTGTAGGGTCACTGTTGATATGTACGGTTGATATTACTGTGGTGGTTTTCGAAATACGTATAAAAAAGGGACAATAGTACTAAACAGCATTTAATTTGCTATTAGGAATTATAGAATTACGGACAGCGATAAAATCTTTAAACTTTATAGGAGAATCAAGTTTAGAAGGTGGGGTTAATATGAGGGGGTGTTTCTGGAAATGAGTACTTGTAAGGCTATACTAAATGGTACTAAATTGGGTACAACATGGTTTTTGGGTAAATGGATAACCGTGGAGTGTTGAAATTTAATATAGGAAGCGGTCGATCTGAGTATAGATGCAATAGGTACACAAAATGTACTAAATGGTACCAAATTTGGGATATAGTGTGTTAAAAGTACTAAATTTGATATAGAGTCCAAAAAAAATATATATAATTGCAAATATTAGTATATGTAATAATGCTAAGCTTATAAATTTTGTTATGAGTTAGACAATTAACAGCTTTTGGAAATGCGTGTTATATAATGCACGAAAAGTACTAAATCCGGTGGAAAGAACAGGAATAGTGCTGAAAATACAATTTTTTTTTATATCATTTGAAACGTGCCTCGATCTAGCGATGTCCGTCTGTATGGCTGACTGGTGCGCACGATAACTCTCGAAGGGAAGGGTATCCGATTTAGTCCAAACTTGGTACTTAGAGGGTCGACAATTCGAATAATCATAACTGAGGTCATAATATATTTAAATAATCGAATGTCGGCAAAACCTACTGATATTTTTTAACTTGTTTGTATTAGGATTAGGTGTTTAGCTTCTTAATTTGCACATGAGTACTGTAACGTATGCCAAAACAAGTAAGAAAAGGCTATAGATGTGCGGGGCCGACTGTGTTATACCCTACAACACTACAATATGTTAGAAGCTCCCTTATTTCCAAATCCATATTGGAAGATTTCGCTTTTGAAATTAGGATTTTGACTAGGGACATTTGCCCAATATTTATGCACTCCGTCGGGCTGTTAGTTGTTGTAGTTCATTTTACAGCTAAATATAATCCAATGGTCATCCAAAATGCTAGAATTCTTCCCTGTACTTAACTCTCTTCACAGGTGTGTCGATTGGCTTCAATTGTGTGATCGGAAAAACATTTGTTTTTGGATAATTTGAACCTCTAAATATTTTGCAATCATCTCCAAAAGCAAGAAGCCCCTCTGTATCTTAAAATTTAGACTCATCTATATGATTTGCTTGTCTACGATATTTGGCTATATTCGTCAACGAAATCTGCATTAAAAAAGCCAGAAATTCGCCTTTTGTGTATTTCGGATATCGCCTGTATGTAATGATGGTATTTTTTCACACAAAATTAGTGGTCCATTGTACCCGCCGTCTTAACTCTAACTTTATGCGAGATTTCGAGTCCTTTAGTTTCTATTAGTGACCTTTATAACGGCTGCAAAATCAGGAAAATTTTAAGATGTTGGTCCATTTCAACCCCCTAATATATTGCGGACATCTTTGAAAACAATAGGCTTAGCCCTTCTGAGCCCAACCCTACCCTTCTGAAAATTTTCGTGAGGATCGGACGATATTTGCAATACTTATATAATATTCCCAACCTGTGTTGTAAGGTGAAAAAATATTACAAAATATTATAAGTCAAATTGAAAAAATCGCATGCGATAAAAAATATGAAAAAAATAAAAAATGTCACAATATACTACAAATTCTATATTAACATCTTTATTAGCATATTTTTCTGCGATTTTTTTAGATTTTATACTTTTATGTCAGGAGGGCATTCTGAATTGACAATATTTGTCCAAATCGGTCCAACCATTCTTGAGATATAAGCATTCTAACTAACTTCCCCTTTCTTTGTATATACACATTGTATATATTTCGCTATATATAACCGATATATTTACTGTCGGCATCTATGTAACGGTCAGAGTTGACCTGTTCGTATATTTGTGATTTCGCCGGGATTAAAAATATTCGCGGTTAATGGAAAATTTGACTTTTATTTAACACAACTGCTGTGGACTATTTCACCCACTAAATATTACCCCATGACCATCCAAATTGGAAGGCTTCTGCCCATCCCTAAGCTCTAGCCCCATGCAAACTTCCGCTTTGATTGGTCTATAATTGCGACCTGTAGAGCAACTGCAAAATCCTCCATTCTAAATTTCGTGAAGATCGGGCCATAATTGCGACCTGTAGAGTGATTACAAATTAACATGGACAGACGGACGGACGGACATATATAGCTAGATCGACTCAGCTCGGCGAGATAGGAAGATCCATATATACTTTCCTATGTGGGAAACCAATATTTCGTGGTGTTACATAATTTTTGGCCCAATCAAACTTATAATACCCCCAACACATAGTGTTGTAGGGTATAAATATTCTAATTGGAATAGTATAGAATTGTTATTTCGGTATTAAAATAACTATAAATTTTTGAAATATTTTGTGAAATTCCAAATTTAAGATACAAGCAGTTCTAAATATTTTACTACTGATAGAAGCTGCGGTTCTTGTTTTGTGTATGTAAGTTTGTACCTGCATATTGCGGTTGTGAAGGACAAACATAATAAATCGAATGAGAAAAATAAAAAGACGGATATATCTCAACCGATTTTTAACCAAATTTGACGTCATGGCTTCTAGGCTTTAGTTGCTTATGCAACCATCTTATTCGGGTTAATATTACAAATTTGGTGCCCAATTAAAGATAAGGAGCTATATCTAAACATTAACCGATTATCTCCAATCAAATGGGTGCGTCCTTGAACCAAAAAAAATGTATTTGTGCAAAAATTCAAGTAACTATGGGTCTCTTGTTTCCTTCTTCATGTTAGAAAATGCTATTCAAAAAATCAGAAGGAGTGAATCGATATATTCTATCTTCACAGCAGATCTTGTGTTAGTAGAAATAATGGGATGTATGAAATATGAAGTGAACGGGATGCTTACTTCGGATTGTATGATCGTTTCGGTTATTCAAAACGTTGACGCTTTTAGGGGTAGGTACCAGAAGGAATGATCCAATTTCTTTATAACAGATCTTGTGTTGATAGGAATATCGAGATGTGCCAAGTCTGAGATTCATGGATATTCAAACTGTTGACCCTTTGTGAGGGAACATACCAGAAGGAGTGTACCGATATATCCAATCTTCACACCAGACCTTGGGTTAATAAAAATATTGTTATGTGTGTTATTTGAAGACAATCGGTCTCTGACATCACATTTTATAAAAGTTATAATTATTTAAAAACAAGTAAGCAAAGGCTACAGTCGAGCGGGGCCGACCTTTGAATACCCTACAACACTATAATAAACGATACAGATTATATAGGCGAGATATTCGAAAGAATTCCACAAGATATTGTGACAAATAATAAAAGAAAACCATCAGATTTCGTTCTCTAATTTTCGAATAATAATAAAAAAACTTAAACTAATTTGCTCATTTCCAATTTATTGGTAGATGTTGCACTTAAATGGTCTTCCAAGATCTGGAACCAATATTTCCCAAAGACCTATAATCTCTCAGAAGTGGCAAAAGATTAACATTTATTATTGGTTTTTGACTGAAACGCATCTATATGAGATACAGACATTTGACTACATTCTTCAACGAAATCAGCGTTAAAAAAAAGAGTCAGAAGTGCGTCTTTCCTGTATTTGTGAATTCTCCAAAAAGTCGCTGGAATGGACATTTTCGTATTTTGTCTACAAAAGTTGGCAAACTATTTCACACATTGAATATTTTTGGATGGCCATCCAAAACTGCTTGGCTTTTGCAATGTCCGGTAACCCCCATAATTACGACCTGCTGACAATTTTGCAGTTTTTTGGTCCATTTCAACCCCTAAATATATTGCGATCATCTCCAAAAAGAATAGGCTTTTATTCTGACCCTCATCTTATCTCCATGCAAAATTTCTTAAGGATCGGGCCATAAATGCGATCTGTATATGATATCCTGATATCCTAACTACTTAGTTTTGTTAGCTGTAGAAATATTACCAAATGTTTAATTCAAAATGAAAATATGCCAAAAATATGACAAAATTGAAAAAATATGAGAATATGTTACAAATCCAATATTTTCATCTTTAGAGAGATATTTTTATGCGATTTTTTAGACGTTTTTTCTTTCCTGCCAATAGGCCATTCTGAATTAATGAGAACTGTCGAAATCAGTTCATATAAGAGATTTTTCAAGCATATCTTCTTTGATAAACATATATATCGCACATATTTTGCTATATATCCGTTTTGTTGGATGTTAACATCAATGTAAAGATCAGAAGTAACCTTGTCATGGCTTTGTGATTTCGCCGGGATTTAAAATATTCGCGGTTTAATGAAAAATTTTGAATTTTTTCAACAAAAAAGATATGGTCTATTTTACCCGCTAAATATTATCCGATGACCACCCAAAAGGGTAGGCTTCTTGCCAGCCCTAAACTCTAGCTACATGCGAAATTCCGCGTCGATTGGTCTATAATTGCGACCTATAGAGCAAGTGCAAAATCAGGAATTTTTTCAGTTTTTGGTCCATTTCAACCCCTAATTATTATGCGATCATCACCAAAAGAAATAGGGTTCTATTCTGACCCTAGCCCCACCTCCATTTTAAATTTCGTGAAGATCGGACCATAATTGCGACCTGTACATTGATTACAAATTAACATGGACAGACGGACGGACGGACATACATAGCTAGATCGACTCAGCTCGGTGAGATAGGAAGATCCATATATATTTTCCTATGTGGGAAATCAATATTTCGTGGTGTTACATAATTTTTGGCCCAATCAAACTTATAATACCCCCAACACATAGTGTTGTAGGGTATAAAAATGTTGACCCTCCCAAAGCAAGGTTGGCACTAAAAAATACCAGAGCAGAGCAACATTAGGGCAGCATGTGACGGTTTCATTGGCTGTTTGAAGGCCATAATTCGTGCCAAAGGTGACCAATTCGAACAAATCTAAACGTATTTTATAATTTGATGTTATTTCCGACATTTTTGGCTTTCATTCAATAAAATTTTGAAAAAAAATGTAAAAATTATGGCCTTTGACTTTGTTGAAATAAGCATCCGGTTATCTCCATATTACACATCCAATTATTTCTACTAACAAAAGATCTGCTGTGAATATGGGATATATCCGTCCTCTGCAACCTCCGCCAAAAAGGGGAAATCATGGATTATGGATATTATGGATGGATATTATAAAACGCGAAATTAACATCCGATTTCGGACTTGACACATCTCAATATTTCTATCAAAACAAGATCTGTTATAAATATGGTCTAGATCGGGTCACAATCTTCAATAAATTGATCGGTCATAACAAGTCAGCGATTCTTTACGACTTGTTAGATCTAAATATTTCCTTCAACCAGAAACCTGAGATGAATACAGAATATATGATTTGATTTTCTTGTAATTTTTACCCATGCCAATATTTTAATCTGTATTAGATGAAGTATGAAAATGGAATACTTCGGGTGACTTCAGATATAGTCACCCTCATTTTAAGATTTTCTATAAATTATCGCTTATCTCATATTAAGTGAAGGAAGTAACCGAAATAGTCCAATTCAGTCACGTTGCAATATTTTTATTATATTTTTTTAGGTCCGATACGAAATAGTCAATATTGGCCCATTCCTTCGGAACCTACTCCATAGGGGGTCAACAATTTTAATAATCATAGCAGAAGTCAAAATATGTAAGTATGCATAATCGAACATTGGCTGAGGGTATATATCGGTCGGTTAAATCGACTGATACTTCTTAACTAGTTTTTGGCTTGTTTTTAGGCCTTAGGCATAGGAGTGAGAATATTAAATAGTTCCCTTTGGAATGTGGGCTAGTAATTAAATCAATAAAAAGGGGGTTTTGGAAACTTAATAGAAAACGTTGTTACTTATGTCCATTATCTCATTTAAAGCATCAGACACACACGTGGCATATCCCAAATCTCCTAAAAGGCTTTTGTTTCAAATTGTTACACCAAAGTGTTATTTTTGCCGAAGCAAATATTTTACTTCCCTTTTTTTTGCAATAAAACGAAAAAATCTGAGTGTTGAGCCTTCGAAAATGGCAAAAGTAACGGATTTTCATTTAACACAAAATTCGTCTCCGGGGAGCTATTTGAAATTTTTGAAAGATTGTTATCTTTCAAATGTGAGCTTTTCATGCCTTCCATGCCATCCCCAATGGCTGGTGGCTGTGGCTCCAACCATTGAAATGAAATGGATGCCAAGAGGCAGGTAGTAAGAGTTGCCCAAATGTGTGTATGCCTTCGGAACACACACATAAAAAATATATATTTTTGTAAAGTATTTTGGGTACAGAAATATAAGTGTCTCAATGTGGGTTTGTGTGTGAGAGAGTGTTTCTCTATCTGTATCATGTGATAGTTATGGCTGGTGGCTGCTCCTGCTGCTGCTACTGCTGATGGTGGTGATGGCTGTGATGTTGACTTTAGATGGTTTACAGGTGACGCTGTATGGATGACGACCCGACCGACCAACGTTCGGTCGTTGAACCACATGTCTGTCGTCTTTTTGTCCAAAATGCAAACACTCTCACCGACAATTACACATTCACACACACACGCTTGTTTAAATATTTGCATAATTTTAGCATAAAGTCCATTAACATTATTTTTTTTTTTTTCTTAGCTTGGTTTGGTTTGTATCTGTTGAAGGTATTTTTAATCGAATCGCTGTTTGGGGGTGGTGGGGATGATGCTTGTGCAACTCAAATGTTAACTAGTAATCCTTTTCTAATGCTTACCCTCTGTGTGTGTGTCCCTTTGTCCGGCTGTGGAGTTACGCTTCTTTTTTGTGTTCTACTACAGCGGCACAAATTTCAATGGAGCACAGTGACACATATATTATGAGACTACTGCTGCTTCTTCTTCAGCTCGTATTTCGCTTGAGAAGAGGTGGGGGGGCGGTTGTTAGTAGTAGCGAGGGGGTTTATTGGTATCCTTTGGGGAGGATTGTATCCGTGTGTATACTCAGACTACGTTGAAAGAACAAAAATGTTCTTAACACAACTCCAATAACGGTGGCGATGGCGGCGAGGAGGACGACAATCAAATGCGCACTGCTACAACTGCGGCAAATCACTCTCTGCACACTCTCTCAAAATTCATAAATTCACACACACACACACACTCAAACACGCAAACAGGACACCAAGGAGTTTCTTATTTCTTTGCTTCTTGCCTTCTGCCCAAACGGTGGTTGTGGGGTCGCTATGTGATACGTGATGCGAGTATAGAAAAGAAAAACACCACACACCCGATTCAATTGGATTTGAATTTGTTTCGTATTTTATTTTTCCTTTTTTTTTTTGTTTCTTTGCTTCTTTTTTTTCTTTGTTCAGTTGGTGTCACACACAGTTCCTTGCTCGATTGCTTGGCTTTCTCTATAAAATTCTTTTACTTTTTTATTTGGGTAGTTCAAACTGGTTTAAGGGAAGGGAAAATTCCTTCTTTTTCATGAAAATGTGGGTAGACAGACAAATAGACAGGCAGACCTATTATCGATTTGATTATGAAAACGTAAAAACAAATATTCAAAATTTTCTTTTTTTTTTCAAAAAACAAAACACTTTAAAACTTTTTTTGAAATTTTTATTCTACGCGAGAAGAAACTTACAAGTTTTTAAAACAAAATTTCTCTCACAGCAAAACTTTTTCTTTAAAGAAATTTGATTTTTTTTATTTTAGAAAAATTTTTCTTTTTGAGATAGCAGACAAATTTTTTCCGTTTTCCGCAATTTTTCCTTAGAGAGAAAAGCCAACTTTATTACTCGACGTTAAAAACTTAACTGATTGTGAGAGGTTTTGACATTTACCGTTATACCCATTACTTACATTGCGATACAGTTACTGTTCTGTTCTCTTTCCTGGTTACTCAATATTGTTCTCTCGCTCTGTATCTCTAATATAGAAAATAGAGAGCATTGGAATGTATCACAAGCAGTGTTGCCAATTTGAAGTGAAATGTAATAGGAATAAAATTTTGAAGTAAGACAATTTTTATAGAAAATTTTGAATCTATACATAGAAAAGAGTACAATAATGAGTGAGTTAGGGATAATCCCTAGAATTCTGAAATTTGAAATGAGGGCCTCTGATGGGGATTCAGATGCAATTACCAATTGTCTCCTGGAAATTCAAATTATAGTTGTAATAAAAGTACAGCATAGAAAATTTTCTGCCATAGGCTGTAGCATCCATTACGAACTACAAATACGCGTCTCAAACAATTTCGGTGGGTATTGTACCTAAACTCGTCAAAATACCGAATATAGGTACTGGTATGTGGGGCCAATATGAAGACCTGGACCTACATAGACAATTTTCTGTCACAGACTGTAGATCCCATTACGATCTCTTAATACGTAATTTGAAACAATTCCGGAGAATAATGAAGCTAAAATCATCAAAATACCGAATACAGGGAGGTACCGTTATATGGGGGCTCTACGAAGACGTGGACCTGGACAGACAATTTTCTGTCTTAGGCTGTAATGTTCATACCAAAATTTAAACAATTCCGTTGAATAATGTCGCTAAAATCATCAAAATACCGAATATCGGGAGGTACCGTTATATGGGGGCTATATGAGAACGTGGACCTACATGGCCCATTTACAAACTTAACCTGCCCACTGGAAAAATAAACATGTGTGCAAAATTTTAGCCTTCCATCTCAATTCGTTCGAAAGATAGCGTGATTACAACAGGCAGACGGACAGACAGACGGACGGACAGGGCTAAATCGACTAAGAATTTTACGCTGATCAAGAATATATATACTTTGTTGGGTCTGACATGAGTATTTCGAGGAGTTACAAACGGAATGACAAAGTTAATATACCCTCCATAGTATGGTGGAGGGTATAAAAAGTATCAGTCGATTTTTCCGACGGAGGTATATCCTCAGCCAATGTTCGATAATTTAATATATTTTGACTTCTGTTATGAATATACCAAATTTTGAACCTCTATGGAGTAGGAATGGTGCAATATTGTCCATTTCGTATCGGATCTAAATAAATATGATATAAATTGTGCGACGTGCCATATTTGGACTATACAGGGTGAGATAAAAAAACTGCAACAAAGTCAAATGCCATAATTTTTACATTTTTTTAAATTTTATTGAATCAAAACAAAAATTGTCGAAAATAGCATCAAATTTTAGAATAAGTTTAGATTTTTTCGAATTGGTCACCTTTGGCACGAATTATGGCCTTCAAACGGCCAATGAAACCGTCACACGCTGCCCGAATATTGCTCTGCAGTATTTTGGCCCATTCCCGGCGAAGCGTTTGCTTGAGGTGATCGACACTTTGGTAGTTTTAGTGCCAACCTTGCTTTCCAAAATACTCCAGACACAATAGTCCAAAGTATTGGTATCCGGAGATTTTGGTGGCCATTGTGTGCTGGAAATGAAGCGGGGAACCTTGCCTTAAAAGTCCTGTAGGAATTTCCTAGGTCTGCGGCCAAAATGTTTGCATGCCCAAGGCTTTAATACAACCTCCAGAATATTTTTACGATAATATTCGGCATTTATTTTGACGCCACGGTCGATTAATACGAGCGAAGAGCAACCATCGGCTGTAATGGCGGCCCACACCATCACCATGGCAGGCGCTTGAGCTCTGATGGCCAACCGAAGGTGCACATTATCATCTAACCTGTTTGTTTGTTAACAAACTGCTGGGCAACGAATTTTCTCTCATCGGAGAAAACCAAATTTGGCAATTTTTTCATCTCACCCTGTATGGATGTGGCTTCGGAAATGTGCACTATAATTCTACGAAAATTTAAATGGTACTATATTTGGTATTTGGTGATGGGATGGAGTTACAATTCTGAAATATGATATTTTGATTACTGTTGGTATCTGTGTTTGAGATTTGGCGGTTTGTTTGGAAATACGTACTATAATTGTAGGAAAAGTATATATACCCTTATTTATTTTTGAGTATCTTCAATCAATTTCTGAGTCGTTTTTTTTTTTTTTTTTTTTTTTTTTTTTGAATAAAATGCAGTTCTGATTAAGACAAAATTTTCCACAAATCATCCAACCTTATTGAAATTAGTATTAGTATTAGTATATTTAACCGATTTCGGATTAATTGTGCACCAAATGGCCAATATCAGCACAAATGGACTGAATTTTGGTAATTCCGACTGAATTCATAATAGAAATAAGTACTTCAAATTTTTGGTGAAAATCTACTCAGATATAGCTGTAGCTGCCATTTATATGTTTCATCCGATTGGGTGCTAAAGTCTTTCGCATGCATATATCTTTATACGATTTTACGGTTATTGTCGTTGTTATTTGTCGGTTATTTTGTTGTTGCAAAATGGTCAGGCTTATCCCTTTATTGTTGTTTTTATAAAAACAACGTTTGTTTATTAGTGGAGAACGATGGTAATGTTTACCAGGGGGTAAGGCAGGGAATACCTAGGTTTCGGAAAGAGCCACCAATCCTCATCAGTTCCCTTGTTTTTGTCTGGGATATTCTCCCCAGAAGTTATTTTAAAAATAACTTCTATGACAAAAAACATTTTTTTTTACCCAAGTGACGAGATCGTAAGCTCAATAGAAGAGGAACCAAAGAATTATATAAAACTAAAATTCTTTTGGAAAGTCTTCTAAATCTTACAACCGCACTTATTTTAAATTTTTTTAAAAATAATAATAAAATAATATCGAAGTCATGCACAATACAACAATGTTATTGGTACTGGAGGTTCAAAAACCCCCGTCAAATTTTTGAAAATCAATTCAGAGTTGGTTATAGTTCCCAAATTGTGATTACTCTAAAGCCATGATATAAAAAAAAAGTTCATGGTTAAGTAGATTAACATAAATTCCCAATATTAACTTACGCATAGTGGTGAAAGGTATCATATAGACGGCCCCGCCTGATTTTTGACGTTTCCTTACTGGTTTTTATATTGGGTGAGGGGATAGGTTTGGAGTCCTCAAATTTGCTATTGTATCTGAAATGGAGATATATATAGTATCAAAATGTACCAAACGGCACTAATTTTGGATCACTTTTAGAGATGAAATTCTGATATTATATATTGAGGTGTAATATCAATTACAAAGTTCAAATGCAAAATTAGAAACATTTCCGGTGAATAATGTCGCTTAAATCATCAAAATACCGAATATTGGAGGTATTGTTATATGGGGGCTATACGAAGACGTGGACCTGTACAGACAATTTTCTGTCATAGGCTACAGTATCCATTACGAAGTTAAAATGCTAAATTAGAAACATTTCTGGGGAATAATGTAGCTTAAATCACCCAAAAAATAGGGAGGTACCATTAAATGGGGGCTATACCAAAACGTGAACCTACATAGCCCATTTTCAATACCAAAAGTCCTGCAGACATAGTATAGATTTGAGTAAAATTTTATCAACCTACTTCATTTTGTTCGGAAGATAGAGTGATTTCCACAGACGGGCGGACATCGCGAAATCCACATAGAAGTTTATGCTGATCAAGAATATATATATATATATATATATATATATATATATATATATATATATATATATATATATATATATATATACTTTGTGGGGTCTAAAAGGTATTTTTCGAGGTGTTACAAACGGAATGAAAAACTTAATATACCCTCCATATTATATAGTGAGGGCATAATAAGAAACGCTCCAAAAACTATACCAATTTCAAACTCAGCGTCGTGAGAATATCTTTATGTTTTAAATCTTTGAATGCAGATAAAAATATTTTTAAGTATCTAATTCTGAAAGTAGTTTATTTAAGTTTTATTTTGCAATAAATATTTAATTTTAAGTTGATAAGGTTTTTTGTAGCTTTTGAAAAGAAATCCTTTTGGTAGAAAATTCCAATTTGAAATGGCAACACTATCGTCCATTACTGCTACCCGCACATACATAGCCACCACATAGGGTACAACAAAATTTTTATTTCGTCTTCATTTTCATTTCATCCCTTAACCATTTCTAATAACACATATAATTTATTTTTTGCCTTCCAAACAAATCACTTTCGTAATTGATTATCGAATTTAGTTTCGACGAGGAAAAATTAAACTCCAGCCGACTCACCTCTCAGTTGGATGTCTGACCGCCCGTCCGACCGTTTACAGGTGATGGCATGTAATGGCCTTTTGACATTTCGTTTTATGCTCAACTCTAATTCTATGTTGTGCGGCGCTGAGCCATAATTGGAGCAAATCATTCGGTGATGGATGGAGAGAGATATTAGCATATCGTCGTTTGTGGACAACGACGCATGTCTTTAAAAACAAGTGTGGATATTGTAGCGTTATTTAGAACTTATTTTGAGATTTTCTAAGAAAAGTTATATTTTTGGCCAAACAAGTCTCGGAGCTTTTCTTTTAAGATCAACTCCACAGAATATGAGGGACAACATGTTTGTTTCTTAACTTGTAATGAATAATTACATTAAAAAATGACAACAAATCCAATGATAAATATTAAAAAAAACAGGAATTTTGAAAAAATATTTAAAACAAGTAAGCAAAGGCTACAGTCGAGCGGGGCCGACCGTTGAATACCCTACAACACTATAATAAACGATACAGTTTATATAGGCGAGATACTCTAAAGAATTCCACAAGGTATTGTGACATATAATAAAAGAAACCATCAGGTTTCGTTCTTTAATTTTCGAATAATAGCAACTTATACTAATTTGCTCATTTCCAATTTATTGGTATATGTTGCACGTAAATGGTCTTCCTAGATCTGGAACC